GAGCAAGGAAAAGCGGCGGGGGAGGGAGGGGGGCAGTGCGGTAGGGGAAGAGACGGTAAAAAGGGACCGACTCGTCAAAGGTGACATCCTGAGAGGCGAAGACCCGGCGCGAGGTGGGGTGGTAAAACTGCCAGCCAGGCGCGTCAGGGACAAAGCCAAGGAAGACACAGGGAAGCGTGCGGGAGGAGAGCTTGTCCGCGGACGTATCGCGGACAAGGGCACGAGCACCCCACACCCGGAAGCGCGACGCATCGCCAACCTCCCCCGTCCAACGCAGTGTGGGCGAGGTCTCCGGCAAGGAGACACGGGGCCAGAGGTTGAGCTGATGCGCGGCGTACCGGACAGCAAACGGCCACAGAAAATGGGGAGCCGCCGCGTGGACCAAGGAGGTACGAGCGACCTCCATGACCAGACCAATGCGGCGCTCAGCAACCCCATTCTGCTGTGGGGAGTCCGGAAGCGTGAAGGTCTGCTCGATGCCCTCTGCCTGACAGAAGGTCCTCAGAAGATCGGAGGAAAACTCACCACTTCTGTCAGAGTGCAGACGCAGGACAGGAAGATCCGTCCGGAAACGGCGGCGGAGCTGGAGACGAACCGTGCAGATCCAAGGGATCAGAACAGCAGGGACCTCACCCTTGGTGCGCAAGGGGAAGACCGTGGTGTAACGCGAGTAGTCGTCAACAACCAGCAGAAAGTACCGCTCACCGCCCTGACCACGAACGCGGGCTGGGCCCCACACGTCCAGGTGGAGGGTCTCCAGAGGAGCCTCTGTCGGGGGGAACGAGGAGGAGTGAGGAGCGGCGCGCTGCCGCCCCTCGACGCAAGGAAGGCAAGGCGGCGCAGGCGAGGCAGGGAGGGGAGGGAGGGACCTGGGAAGACCGGACACAAGGAGGCGACGGTGCATGCCACGAAGGCGTGGCAAGGAGGGGTGACCCAGGCGGTGGTGCCAGAGAAGAGTCTGGTGCGACAGGGAACGACACTCACAGGCGTGGGCCACCAGACCTGACGCAGACACCTGACCGACAGCAGCTACCTGGGGAGACGCAGTGGTCAGTGTGTAGAGACTCGACCCCGGCCGACGGGTGAACGTAGCCAGGTGACGGCCAGTCCTGGAGCACGTGCAGATCGCCACACGCTGTCCGCCAGGGGTAAAGGTGTCAACCCACTGATCCTGGAGGACAGCGTTGCTCACCAGGTTCGTCGAGAACGAGGGGAGGTGGAAACCCGACAACGAGCCAGACGGAACCGCCGGACAAGGGAGGACAGTGGTGGACTGGGCAAGGACTGGGCCCCCAGAGGGGTCAGCCAAGGAGACTGGGACCGGTGCAGGAAGCGGTGTGAGCTCAGTACTGTCACGAAAGAAGCAACGGGAAGCACCTGAGTCAAGGGTGAAGGTGTGACAGGCCTCAGCCGGTGCGGTACCTGAGAGAGGAGTCTGTGTGGGTGCTGTACCTGAGAGAGCAGACTCGAAACCAGCCGGGACAGCACTGGGGGGAGCAAGTACAGGGGGTACCATACCAGAGAGAGCAGACTCACTAGTACCCAGGGCAGCGGGCTCTATACCTGGGTCAGGCGGCACACACAAGTAACAGTCTCCCTCGGCACTAACAGTCAATGCATACATGGCAGCTATAATAGCATCATAGTCAAGAGCAAAGACATCAACACCAGCCCTCATGAGCTCAGCCCAGCGGGGGCGCTCAACATCCGCACCCATCTCCTCACGCCAAGCGTCGTCAAGGCGGGAGAAGCAGCGGTACGGGGTGTGGAACCTCCCACACGTCTGTCCCTTGCGGTCACCTGTGCGAATGACATAAGAACAGCGGGCACTGGCCCCCGACGTCCCACGCTGAGCAAGCCACTCACGAAGCTGCTGGGTCGTCTGGGGACGCTGCTGCTGCTGGGAGCTCTGGCCTGAGCCAGTGCCTCCACTCCGACCTCCACCGCCACCACTACCACCGCTCCGACCGGCACCGCCACCACCGCCACCACCGCCACCGCCGCCACCGCCGCCGCCGCCACTACTGCCACTGCTTCCTCCGCCGCCCCCGTCTCCACCACCGACCCCACTCCCACCAGCGCTCCCGCCACCGCTCCCTCCAGCACCGCCTCCCCCACCTCCTCCCCCCCCAGCGCCACCACCACCACCCTTGCCCCCCTTGCCCTTGCCGGTGCGGCGCCTCCCACCAGGAGTAGAAGCAGCGCCAACAGACTCAGCACCAAGGAAGTCAACAGCAGCAGCAGCAGCGTAGGAGGGAGCGAGGGGAGAGGGAGAACACCCCTCAAAGATGGGGGTGCGAGGAGCGCCACGAGCAGCACCGACAGCTACAATGCTCTTTTCGGCCGCGAGCAGGTGCTCCTCTAGGAGGGCGACTGTGAGCTCAGTGGGACAGCGAGCAAGGAAGTGGTCTCGAACTGAGCGGAGGGTGTCAGGGAGACGAGTGACTATAAAGTGGAGTGTCCAGTACAGTGGAGGGGGGTTCTTAGCGCAGAACTCGGTGGGAAGGGCGGCACGCAGGCGAGCATCACTAGTGCGAAGGTGGGTGATAAGATCGGCGACTGTAGTAAAGGTGGACAGATCGGGGAACAGGTACGGCAGCATGAGGCGGCTAAGCTCGGCTGTGGCAGGCGAGGAGTAGCGAGCGACGACAGCGTCGTACAGGGCCTTAGCGGATTTGCAGTCGCCAAAATGCTCTAGCTCAGCTAACGGCAGGTGACTGCGAATGGCTAGGCGAGCAGCTGCGTCACGAGTCTGCCAGTGGGAACGAACACTAAGCTCAGCTGTGGCAGGAGGGGCAGGCGCAGCACCAGACGCGTAGTCATAGAGCGACACATGCTCCTTGCTATCGCTCAGGAGGAACAGCTGCAGGTCATCTAGCCAAGCGGTGAACCGCACAGGGCGGCCCTCAGCATCGAACGACAGCACGCGGATAGAAGCCATAGCGACAGTGTGACAGAGTAACGCAAGATGCCGCAGCAGGGGAAGGCGACAGTGCACGAAAAGAGAGCAGCGGGCGAGGCTGGCGCTACGGGCAGGCGGCGCTGCAAGCGGTCAGCGCGACGGGAGGGCGACGCTGCGAGTGGGCAGCGCGGCGGACGGGCCGGGAAGCGGGCAGCGCGGCGGGCAGGCGGCGCTGCAAGCGGGCAGCACGGCGGGCGGGCGACGCTGCGAGGCGGGCGGGCCGCGAAGCTGGCAGCGGGCGGGCGGGCGGGCTGCGAAGCGGGCAGCGGGGCGAGCGGGCTGCGATGCGGGCGGGCCGCGAAGTGGGCAGCTAGCGGGCGGGCGGGCTGCGAAGTGGGCGGGCCGCGAAGCGGGCAGCGGGGCGAGCGGGCTGCGAGGCGGGCGGGCCGCGAAGCGGGCAGCGAGCGGGCGGGCGGGCTGCGAAGTGGGCGGGCCGCGAAGCGGGCAGCGAGCGGGCGGGCGGGCTGCGTAGTGAGCGGGCCGCGAAGCGGGCAGCGAGCGGGCGGGCGGGCTGCGAGCGGGCGGCTCGGCGAGGGGCGCGCGAGGGCGCTAGTGAGGGGCGCGCGAGGGCGCTAGCAAAGGGGCGCGCGAGGGCGCTAACGAAGGGGCGCGCGAGGGCGCTAACGAGGGTGCGCGCGAGGGCGCTAACGAGGGGCGCGCGAGGGCGCTAACGTGGGCGCACGAGGGCGCTACGAGGCTAGGGCACGGGGTAGCGTGGTAACCGCATGCGAGCGGTGGTGGGCCCTTAAAAGAAACGGTCGATAGGTCCTAGGGACCTCCTGCTCTGAATACCATGTCAGAATCACTAGGCAAGAATGATGCATTGAATGAAACAGTTGGGTACAAGTAGCAAACCCTAGTTGGGGTTGTACCCCATATTGGCTACCCCACTACAGCCTACAAGCATAATACAGTTTAACAGTGTTATGTCCGGGAGAATACGGTAAAACATACCCGTCATACCCCGGATAGAAGCGCAGGCCTCGGATAAGCGCCGGCGCTTATAAAGGGATGAGGGCGCTTATATCCGGTCCTCGATTATAAGCGCACCCCCTAAAAATTTATGATTTATTATAAGCGCATGTCGAATATTATCTGAAAATCAGTCGAAACACATAAACGAATTTCACCTTACCAGGGAAGCGAAGTACAGCTCCACTTTCCTACTCAAATCACACTTGCTGCGCGTCTAGTCAGCACGCGCTGTCGCTTAGTCAGCATGTGTTGGCAGGGAATCAATCCCTGCCAAGTTGCTCGAGAGTCAAATTCGCGACCCCATATATTTTCGACTCGATTACAATTGGCAGAACGAGATCTACAGTTTGGTGTTACAAAAAAACTTAATTTCATTTTGCCGTTATATAAACGCCGGCGCTTATAAATTTCCTCAATTATAAGCGCACCCCCTAAAAAACAGTGTTTTATTACAACCCCAGGGGCGCTTCTATCCGGGGTATGACGGTATTATATTACCGGTAGTTCCAACAGTTTATAATCACGAGCTCGTTTTCGACACCATATTTTAACAAAGCTAGCAAATTCAGATGCTTCAACTCTCTGAGGAGCCGCCTCCATTTATGGCGTGTGAAATCCATTGTCATGTGGTGTGGTGACTTGGAGAGCCACATCAGGTGCATGGCAAATAGTCTGCATGTTATTATACACCCGATTTTTGCTATGCAGGAAACTGCAGAGCTGAACTTCTGGCTGGAGGTAAGTTTCGAGCTGTAACGAGAATACCGGTACGGCTGAAATCAGTTGTCGCAGAACTTTCTGAACATATGTGAAGCAGAAACTCGCTTTCAAGCTTCTGATCAGCCGATCACAGGAACCTCTGAGAGTCTAATGGTTTTGTTTTAGTCGAGAGGTACCGGTTCCAGGTGATCAACAGGAGATGCCTGATTTTTACAATACCGTAAAGCTGTAAGACGTACCACAACCCAGCATCATCATACCTTCGAAAGGTTCTTGTGTCTAGGTGTGGTGCAAGGCGTGCTAGGTTCTCATCATCCGTTGTGATCAGATGCTTCCCTTAGAAATGGATTCCGAGAGCGAGCACAAGTCGAAGCTAATTCCGGATTCTGTGGGCAACGACGCTAAGTCTGGGAAAGGTGAACGTTGGAGTAACGGAAGTGCAACCTCTCGGCGAAGCAGCTCTGATTCATTGCTCTCAACTATCCAGTTGGTTTCCATATTATTTTTCACGGTGACTGGGGTAAGGAAACCTTGAGCACGTCGAAAGGCTTCAGTAGGTGCAGAGCTCCCTCCTAATTCCCCTATTTTCAGGGTCCATACGGCTTCGAGGACGTCATTGGAGCCTCAGGAGGCCTTGTGGGGCTAGGAATGCTACTTGTAATTCCGTTTGTTTGGTCCGCGCCTTTGGCATTGATGACTGGAGAACTGGCTTGCATGATGCCTCAGAGCGGGGGACACATTTTGTGGGTGTATCATGCGTTTGGACCATTCTGGTCTCTATTTAACAGCGTATTGACGTTCGGATGCGGAGTGTTCGACAACGCGCTGTATCCAGCCCTCTTCGTCGACTATCTGAGCCACATCATATATGGTCCTTTCGGAGCAATTTCGATGCCATATTCGCTCATTCTGAAGGCGACAATGATCGCCGTCACGACTGCACTCAACTTGAGCGGGGTCGACATAGTAGGTACGCAAGCTCTTCCAAAGTGATTCACGAAAAATATGAGAATGCTCGGTATCACAAACTGGTTTTGGCAGGGAAAGCATCGATGGTTTTTGGGGTGTCTGTCATCGCTCCTTTCGTTGCAATGTTCTTCTTCGCCATTCCCCAGCTGAATCTGCAATGGATCAGCTTTCCAACACCCAAGCCTTTAAATTGGCCAAAGTTACTCTCCGTGCTTCTTTGGAACACTTCAGGGTAAGTAAGGTTGCTCTGTTCTGCGTCCTTAGCACGAATAAAATGTCTAAGCGTTTGTATGTGCAGGTTTGATTCCGCTGGGGCTTGTGCTGGTGAAGTGAAAGATCCAGGGAGGTCATATCCTCTGGCGTTGCTGGTTTCTTTGGGACTGATGCTTGTTACCTACATCGTTCCAGCCTTAGTTGGCTTGAGTGTGGCGCCATATTTCGAGCTGTGGAAAGGTGGCACCTTTACGGACATAGCTGCACGTGTTGGAGGCCGTCCGTTAGAGGTAACGGGTGGTAAATGGCTTGTTTCAGCATGAGCGATAGATTCATTTTATTGTGCGGCAGGTTTGGTTGGGACTTGGAGGAGTCGCCAGCGCTTTTGGTCTTCTTTTAACTCGTCTATGCATGAGCTCGAGGCTTGTCTATGGAATGGCGGTGGCGCATAAGGTAATATAGTGTCATCCCTTCTGGTGTTCTGTAGCCTTCTCACACCTCCTGTTTCGCAGGCACCCCAGTTCTTTCAATCTGTTGAAGGGAAACATGGAACTCCTTGGGTAGCACTTGTTATAACTGCTTTCTGCACTCTTCTGCTGTCTGGATCCAAGTTTACACTTCTTGCTGAGGTGAGTACTCAGAATACGGTTATGCTGCCATGCATGGACATAATCTTGACTGAATCTGCTTGCATTGCTGAGTGGCAGGCGGATATGGTTTTGTACTGCATCTCCTCAGCATTGAAGTTTTCAGCTCTTATTTACCTGAGATTCACAGAGCCAGATGCCTACAGGCCTTTCCGCATTCCTGTGGGTAATCTATTGCTTGTTGGTGAGTAATTCAATGGATGCAGTTTTCCTTTCCATCTATTTCCCAAGTTGGTCTTCTTCACCTTTTGCTGTTGTGGCAGGGCTTACGGCTATTCCACTACTAGTGTGCTTTACAATGGTGATCCTGGGTTCACCGTTCTCACATCTCGTGGCTCTTTCATGTACGTCTGAAGCCCATCTGTTTGAAAGAAGCGGCGTGTATATGGATGATGCTGACTTTCTCCTGTCATGTGTTTTTTTGCAGGCCTTATGATTGCCATCCTAACCCACGTTTGGCTTGAGGCCATAGTCCCTTTTCTCAAGAGGGCAGTGTCTGCCGCTGCTGTAGTTTATTATGGGATGAAAGAGCACCTCACGAGAACGTGTTCTCGTCCAACACATACCCTGTTAGCTGCAGATACGCAAGCCTTCTCTCAACAAGCATGACGTGTGTAGAAATTTCATTAAAATTTTCACCATGTTGACTCAGTTCTGATGATTCAATCAGTGTTGACATGTACAGTTATCTGGTAGGGGAATGTTGAATGGAGTGAAAGGAATGAAAAGCGTTGTGACTCGTGTATTGAATCATGGGAAAATTGTCAGAATCCCAACCACTAACCATTGGGATAAAAGGGCTTGTTTGTGTAGCGGGTGAGTGCGCCCATAACCCCCCAGGCCGCAATGCCTGTAACCCTTCCCTAGGATCGATCGGGGATCACCAGTGGACCTCTGACACCCCCCCGCACTGGGATGCCCGAAGTGCACACACCGGGATTCGAACCCGAGACCTTTGCTCTGATACCATGTCAGAATCCCAACCACTAACCATTGGGATAAAAGGGCTTGTTTGTGTAGCGGGTGAGTGCGCCCATAACCCCCCAGGCCGCAATGCCTGTAACCCTTCCCTAGGATCGATCGGGGATCACCAGTGGACCTCTGACAAAAATATGTCAATGGTAACTTACATGGGGCACTGTAACGCGTACGATAACGATTTCAACGCGTTTGGTAACTCGCTTAACGCGTTTGGTAACTTGCTTAACGCGTTTGGTAACTAGCTTAACACGTTTGGTAACTATACACTAGCAGCCCATCACGCGAATGGTAACTTCGATGAAACAACTCTGACATGACCCTGATTTGAGGGTTTCCCGCTCGCGCCAAACCAATCCACGAGCTGTGATGCACCCACGTCCTCCTGAACCACGTACGCCACTCAACCGAACCAGAACCAAGCGTATTGTACACCGCGTGCACACTAAGATCAACCCAAACTGCAAAGCTACAAGCTTCCCGTGGCCCACCAGATTGCTCCCCGTCATCCTGCTCTAGCCCAATCACACTCCACACTAACTTACTAGAAAGGACTTCTCAGCAGACTTATTACCCCCCATCAAATTCACGGAAGCTCGAGTTACAGCTGATCCGTATCAGAGGTGCGTCTCTGTCCCTTTCTCTTCCCTATATGCTGAACCTACTCGAATCTATCCATTCTTCGAAATTCTGAATGCTCGCCGCTGGGCGCATAGCGCCTGTCTCGCAGCCAGCGCTATGCGCCCAGCGGAATGCTCGCCGCTGGGCGCGTAGCGCGCATCTCGCGGCCAGCGCTATGCGCCCAGCAGAATGCTCGCCGCTGGGCGCGTAGCGCGCATCTCGCGGCCAGCGCTATGCGCCCAGCGGAATGCTCGCCGCTGGGCGCGTAGCGCGCATCTCGCGGCCAGCTATGCGCCAAGCTATGCGCATTCCGCTGGGCGCATTGCGCCTCTCTCGCGGCCAGCAATGCGCTCAGCGGATTGCGCATTCCGCTGGGCGCATTGCGCCTCTCTCGCGGCCAGCAATGCGCTCAGCGGATTGTGCATCTGCTGGGCGCATTGCGCCTCTCTCGCGGCCAGCAATGCGCTCAGCGGATTGCGCATTCCGCTGGGCGCATTGCGCCTCTCTCGCGGCCAGCAATGCGCTCAGCAAATTGCTCACCGCTGGGCGCATTGCGCCTCTCCCTCCAGCGCTATTCGCCCTGCGGAATCCTGACTCCTGGGCGCATAGCTGCTCTCTCGCGGCCAGCGCTATGCGCTCAGCGGTGAGCCCACCCTTTCCTTGCTTTTACTCAACCCCGCCACTCTCTCTCTCTCTCTCTCCTCTCTCTCCCCCCTCTCCCTCCCCACCGGTTCTAGGGCAGGTGTTTGCAGGCTTCTTCGCCCCACAGCCATTCCGCTTTGAGCCATACGACCACCTCACCAACATCGTCAAGGTTCGCTCACTCCCTCACTCCACTTTACTTGAACTGCCCTGCCCTTGATGACTTCCAGAAACATGTGACTGCTCCCCCGTGGGGGCTCACCGCTCACCAACCTCATCCAGGTTTAGGGACTCACTCACTGCACTTCAACTTCCCTGCCTTAGGCGTCTCTCTCCCGTTGCACAGATACGACCTCCCCCACAATAGCCTGTCCAGTCGCAACCTCCTCGTCCTTGTCCCCCTGCCCTCTTCTCCCTGTCCCCCTGCCCTCTTCTCCCTCTTTCTGAACCCCAACCTCCTCTTCCGCCTGTATCTTTCCCACACTCGGTTTTTCCCCTTCTTCATACCCATCCCTATCGTCCACTCTCTCATCCATTCCTCCTTCACTCTCCTCATTCTTAAGATCCTCCCTCTCTTCATCCACCAACCTATAACCTCTCCCCTCCCCATAGTCCCTCTCCCCTCTCTCGTCCACCTCCTCCTCCTCCTCCCCCCTCTCCATGCCTCCATAGCCTTGCCTCTCCATCCCTTCACCAACATCCATCTCATCACCCTCACTCTCCTCCTATCCTCCTCCTCCTCGCCCTCCCCCTCACTCTCCCCCTCACTCTCCTCTTCACCCCTCGCCCCATTCTCAAACAGCCCTTCTCCACTCCGCTTGTTATCCTCCTCCAACTTGCCTTCCTCCAGCCTGCCCTCCGCAAACGTGCCCTCTTCTTCCTCTCCATTATTCTCGTACTCATCTCTATCCTCCCCATGCTCCGTATAACGCTCCTCCTTGTAATTCCTTTCTCTGTAACCCTCATCCGCCTCCTCCCCCTCCTCCTCCTCATCTTCCGCCATCGTGTTCTGATGGTATCGGTGTCGCCTCTCCTTCCTCATCTCCCCGTCACTATCCCCCTCACACTCCTCCCGCTCACTCCCCTCCCTCTCAATACCCTCTTTCTTGTCCGCTTCCTCCTCTCTCTTTTCCCTCTCACCCTCACTGGCTTCCCTATTGCTCTCCTCTCCCTCGCTTTCCCCCATCATAGAACCACCACCAACTGCCTCTGCTCCCCTCTCCTCCTCCCTTTCCTCCTCCTCTCTCTCCTCCTCCCGATCCCGCTCACTACCAGACTCCTTCCCACCAACCTCCTCATCCTCCTCACCGCCCTCATCCCACTCTCTCGCCTCAAGCTCCCCATCTTACCTTTCCTCCTCCTGCTCCTCCCTCTCTTCCTCCCTCTCCTCCTGCTCCCCCTTCTCCCCAAGCTCATTCTCGTCAAAAGCAGACTCAATAAGAGCATGGACGCATCGCCTTGCATCGGATACACTCCCTCTCCACCCTATCTTACAGAAGCTCCCACTGTCAGCCCCACCCCAACAATGCCAGCGGAAAGGGCGGCCACAGAAGGGGCGGCCGCAGCAACAGCAACATCGTCATCGCTTTCACTCCCATCGCTCTCACTCATACGCCCACCTCCAATATCACCACTGTCCCTTTGAGACCTTGACCTGTCCCCATCCTCGTCCCCCGTTGCCTCTTCCCTCAACTCGCCCTCACTCAAACATTCCTCCTTATGTTATCCCTTCTCCTGCTACTGCTCCTCCTCCTCCTCCTCCTCCTCCTGCTCCTCCTCCTCCTCCTGCTCCTCCTCTTCGTCTTCCCTAACCCTTCTCCGTTCACTCCCTCGCCCCCGTCACCTCTCAATTCCTCCACTTCTTCATCTTCGCTCTCCATCCTCCCGTCATCTTCCATCCTCACTCCCTTCCTCACTACCAGCATGCATCTTGGCCCATTGTCTCTCCCTCTCCTCCTCCTCACTCTCTCCCTCACGTTCCCCCTCACTCTCCCCTCTCTCCATCTCCTCATCCTCATCTCTCACACTCCCCTCTTCTTCCCCGTCCCTCAAAATCTCCCACTCCCTCTCCCTCTCCTCTTCTTCACCCCTAGACCCCTCACTCCCCCTCTCACTTCCCTCCTCACTCCTCCTTTCACTTCCCTCCATCCCTCCCCCTCTCATCCTCGTACCTACCATCCCTCTCCCCCTCCAGCCCGTCCCACCCTTCCCTCCTCCCACTCCTGGAAAACTCTCCCCTCCAACTCCCGTGAGGCGACAACTCAGGCGTCAAAACCCCTTCCCTCTCCCCCTCGTCTTTCCAGCTCCCTTGGGGTGATAGGTCAGGTGTAAAATCCCCCTCCCTCTGATGCAACTCAATTACAGACCCTTCCCATCTCTCGCTCCCTGACATGTCCCCCCTCCAACTGCCCTGAGGGGTTAGCACAGGTGTCAAAACCCCCTCCCCCTCTTCCTCCCTCTCCCTCTCCCTTTCACTCTCTGCCTCTTCTCCCCAGTCCCCGCTTCCCTGCGGGGTAATCTCCCCTTTACCCCTCCAAACCGAGGTAAGTTCCCCTTCGCCCCCCCAGCTGTCCAAGGGAGTTAACGCATCATCACCCCTGAAACTGCCCAGGGGGGTGACGTCATCACCCCTCCAGCTCCCCTGGGGTGTAAGCTCTGGAGCCAAAACTCCCGCCGAACCACGGTCACTGCCAAGCCTGCGACCCCCCGAACCTTCAAGCGAGCCTCTGTCCGAACCTGACCACTCCTCATTCTCCCGCTGCTCACTATGATCGTCACTATGCTCGCTATGCTCACCATCTCCCTCCTCCTCATCCTCCACTGCTTCATCATTATGCCTACCAACATCCACCACCAGACCAGACCCCCTTCAACCCATCAAACCTGAACCTTTATCGGCCACTAAGGCCCCCCACCAGCCCCACCCTCTTGCTCTCCTCGCTCCGCTTCCTCTTCTCGCCGTCCTCCCCATCCTCCATCTCAACCGCACTCAACCCCCTCCGCTGCTCCCCGTCCCCTTCCATCTCCTGAACCCCTTTCACTCCCTCAACCCGTCCCCTCATCTGATTCTCTCTTTGCAGCCCATACCCTCCGAATCACAGCGCGCAGCGCCTGGCGGTGCTGTTCATGTGCATTCTGAGCCACGTGCGGCGGAGGAACCCCAACTTCAACAGGAACCTGGTGGAGTCGCTCTACTGCAACTAGTTTCCGGGTACCCTCCCTCTCTCTCGGTGGTGTAACCCTCACGAATGCCTCGTTGTCTTTTTCCAAAAACCTCCCGACTCACTCTCTCCCTTTCCACTCCCTCACGCTTGTCTCGCACCCTACTCTGATTTTGGGGCCCTCCCATTCTCTGCTGCGTAACCGTCACGATTGTTGACAACGATTTGCATAAGAAGCGGGCCTCGGCGCACTTTGGTGCTCCGCGTTTTGGCTGTATGACCTCCAACCCCGTTGAGTCACACCACGCATCACTCTCAGGGCTGCGTGACAAAAGTCCCCCTCAAGTGATGCACCTCTTGACGGCCAAGCTCTCAAAGAGTATTGAAAAGAGGCGCCACGAGTACTCACAACTCACTGATGCGGTCTTCCCGCCAAGGACACGACCAATTATCAAGGCAAACTGCGACGAAGGGAAGAGATACGATGCTGAAGGGTCCGGCGAGAACCGGTTCGTTGTGAGCCGAGGAGAGGTGGAATCGAGAGTCGTGACTACTAACCCCAACAATCCTTCACCAACCTGCTGCACGTGTGGTTACACCAGGTAAGACATGGGAGCCCAGCAAGGGCAAGGGGTGCAATAAGTAGGGCAGGGAGCAAGGGAATGGGGGCAACAAGGTTTGGGGAGCACCAGGGAATGTGAAGACAGCATGGGGGCGGGGGGAGGGGGAGCTTGCAGGGCATCAAGGGAGATGGGGGCAGCAGGGTTATGGGGGGCAGCAGGGTTATGGGGGGCAGCAGGGTCATGGGGGGCAGCAGGGTTATGGGGGGCAGCAGGGTTATGGGGGGCAGCAGGGTTATGGGGGGCAGCAGGGTTATGGGGGGGCAGCAGGGTTATGGGGGGCAGCAGGGTTATGGGGGGCAGCAGGGTTATGGGGGGCAGCAGGGTTATGGGGGGCAGCAGGGTTATGGGGGGCAGCAGGGTCATGGGGGGCAGCAGGGTTATGGGGGGCAGCAGGGTTATGGGGGGCAGCAGGGTTATGGGGGGCAGCAGGGTTATGGGGGGGCAGCAGGGTTATGGGGGGCAGCAGGGTTATGGGGGGCAGCAGGGTTATGGGGGGCAGCAGGGTTATGGGGGGCAGCAGGGTTATGGGGGGCAGCAGGGTTATGGGGGGCAGCAGGTTTATGGGGGGCAGCAGGGTTATGGGGGGCAGCAGGGTTATGGGGGCCAGCAGGGTTATGGGGGCAGCAAGGACGGGCATAGGAGGGCAACAATGGAAAGGGAGGCAGGGGAGGAGGGGGTCAGATTGATAGAGGGAGGGATATTGTGCCAAACAATACGGGCTGGATCAGCAAGCAAATGTAGGGCAGCATGCGAAAGGGGCAAGACAACATAAGAGGGAACAACAAGGGAAAAAGTGGTAGCCATGGATGGGAGGGACTGTATGCCACATATGGGACTGTTTGTTTACGTATACGGCTTGTGCGCATGACTATGTGTATGTGCTTCTTTGACCAATCATTTCAATAACCAACCACCCTATTCCACGACACCTATACCCCAATATCCCAACAACAGGGAGTATGGGCTGCCGTGCGTCCACATTTTTGCTGTGTTCAAGGATGCAGGGCACAAGGCCCACGCTGTGATACACAACAGCCACACGGTTTCGGCGCTGCAGCAGGTGTACAAGACCCCGATTCGGACCCTCGACCCCACGTCAGTGATCCCGGATGGCATTACTCTACCGCCAATCTACTCCAAAAGGGCGGGCCGGCCAAAAAAGAACAGGATTCGCTCGACAGGAGAGGTCGACCCTATCAAACTGCGCAAGTGTGGCAAGTGTGGTGAGATGGGGCATAACTCTAGGACATGTGAGGTCCGGGCTGCGAACCGGGTGTTGTGGGAGGCATTACAAACCCCAGCAGGGCAATTGGCTGTGCAGATGATGACCACAGCGGACGGCGCGGTACATGTAACCCCATGTAGCGCATGTAAGCGAAGTCATCGGAGAGGTATTAGTTGTATCCATACCACTGGTGAGAGTGACGATGAGAGCGAACCGGACGAGGAGTCGGGCAGCGGGGAAGATGAGGGGGATGGAGAGGAGAATGGGAGCACACCGGCAGATTCTGTGTTGACGGAAATATTTGGGAGGGTGCCTGTACCTGCCGGGGATCTCCCTCCCGAAACAGCGACGGATGAGTTGGGGGCCGGTTCCGAAGCATTGCACTTGGGCGGTGCGCAAGGTAGTAGTGCAGGTGAGGGAACTCCGAGGGGGGGTGGCCTGAGAAGTGCGGACGACGTGGTTCGGGGGCGATTACGGAGGTTGCAAAGTCTCAACATACAGAGGGAAGTGGTGGGGCACGTAGGCGATGACGATGTGCATGTGGGGCGTTCGGAGGAAGGGCGTGGTCGAGGTAGAAGTCAACAGGGAAGGGGTGGAGGGAGAGGTAGAGGCACGTCCGGGGTGGTGTCTTCCACAGAAGAAGGTGGAGGCGCTGATTGTTTGGAAGGTACTGAGAGGGGAGGGCGGCAAAGAAGGGGAGGGCAGCAAGGGAGAAGTGGGAGGCAAGGAAGGGGAGGGCAGCAAGGGAGAGGAGGGAGGCAAGGAAGGGGAGGGCAGCAAGGGAGGGATGGGCAGCAGGAAACGGGAGGGCTTCAAGGGTTGGAAGGGCAGCCGGGAATGCAAGGGCAGCTTGGAACGCCTCCGCAGCAAGGAACAGGAGGGCAGCAGGAAACGGATGGGCAGCAGGACACGGGAGGGCAGCAGGGGTTGGGAGGGATGCTAGGGTTGGGAATGGTAGGGCAGCAGGGTATGGGTGGGCAGCCGGGAATGGGCGGGCCGCAGACATTGGGTGGGCCACAAGGAATGGGTGGGCAGCAGGTAATGGGCCACCAGCATGGAATGGGCGTGCAGCAGGGACTGAGGGGACCACTGGGAATGGGTTGGCAGCAGGGAATAGAAGGGCCACAGGGAATGGGTTGGCAGGAGGGAATGGGGGGGCCACAGGGAATGGGAGGGCCACAGGGAATGGAAGGGCCACAGGGAATGGGAGGGCCACAAGGAAGGGGCGGGCCACAGGGAAGGGGAGGGCCACAGGGAAGGGGAGGGCCACAGGGAAGGGGAGGGCCACAGGGAAGGGAAGGGCCACAGGGAAGGGGCGGGCAGCAGGGTTTGGCCGGGCAGCAGGGGATGGGAGGGCAGCAGGGACAGGGCGGGCAGCAGGGAATGGTTGGGCGGCAGAGAATGAGAGAGCCACAGACATTAGGAGGGCCACAGGGAATGGGAGGGCCTCAGGGAAGGGGTGGGCAGCACGGAAGGTGCGGGGAGCAGGGAATGGGAGGGCAGCAGGGAATGGGAGGGTTGTTACAAAGGCAATTTAGTAACAGTGGTATCGATCAGCGGTGGGGATTGTATGGGATGCCAATGCAGGAGAACGCAGGAGGTTTCGCTCACCGCTGGAGCCATGTAGGTCTGCCACAGCAGAGTCGGGTGGACGGGTTGGTGACTGGAGTTGGTACTTGGTCAACAGAACAGGGTGGAGCTGAGAACGGTGATGGCAATAATCAGCAGTACTACGTATGCTTTATGTATTTTACTAAATAGAAGGATTTTTTTGTGACCAAAGCGTGGGTGTGGCATAGGTACGTTAAAAGTGCGCCCCACAGACCCTCCTCATATAGGTTTACATATTTATATAACCGTCAGCACAATTAGTCAAGTATACACTTGCTAGGTTCTTATAATTGTGTGCGAGACTTTACTTGTCCATTGGTGAATATGACTAAACTCACACTCCACCCTGTAAATCAGATAGGCTGGTTTCGTTCGTAACATGCTACGCTGGATATTCTATTTCACGGAAAAAAACAGAGCATACAGCACATAAACTTGCCGGTAGCAAGCAAGAGCCCAGAACACAAGGTGTCTCATCCCGGATATAGCGCACCAGGCGGCCTGCACTTCAATCACGGATCAACCTGAGAAGCTGGGGATAGGACGAGAGGGTGACAGAATGGGCAAAAGCCTGAGAAGTACCATATGCGGAAAAGGGCGATGGCCACCAGTGTTTGTCCACAGTAGTAGGACAAGATGGTGTTGTTTTTAAATGTTATGAACATTCCAAAAGTCAAGCTTAGTGTGACAAGCATGACAACAATAGGTGAGCATCTAGTGGGCATACAACAACATGGCCCAGCCCAGCTTGCCTAGTGTGTCATTGTGTAAAGTCATGGTTGGTGGGCATTTATACAACAAGATGTGAGAAAGTGTTATGTTCATGTTTGCCATGCATCGGGATCTCTCGAACTCCATAACACCCGCATACAGAAGCTTGTCGCGAAGACATCTGTAATTTTCCTGTGATGTTTGGGTAAACTGGAGCTACCGTAACAATGATTTGAATTGCAACACGCCATTAGCTTAGACAGCATCTCTCGTTCTACACTGTGCCCCTGCAAATGTGCCAACCTGTCCTACCCCTCCAAGTCATCTTGCTTTTCATGATATCTCATTGCACAACAGCGCAATCTCATAACAACCTCTACTCACACAATTGCACGGCTGTCGGTACACCAAACGTCATGCTCTAATCTTGCCACCGTTACCTCGAGGCTGCCGCTACCAACTCCCCTTATGACAATACGAAATGAGCACAGCCCATCCTCACTGTGCAACGACACAGTCGGAAGGCGGTGCACTGTGTTACACTGCAACACAATCAGGTTTGGGCGGCAAATAAAGAAAGCGCGGCACAATCATATGCTGCTGACAGAACAACAACACATCCTCCCTCGCCACGCTTGCAGTAGTGTAGACCTTCCCTAGGTAGATGTTGACTGCATCATCCATACGGTGTTGAAGGACCCTGGGGACCAGAAAATAGGAGGATAGGAGTATTGGTGCAAGTGATCTTCAGGAATGAGGTCGCACCTCGAACGCAGGATGCGAGACATAATTCCCACAGTAGAGGTCTCAAACTCAGAACGATAATGAGAGTAGGTGAGAGTAGGGCTATGAGGTCAAATAAGCTGACAAGTGAGGGCAGTGTTGCACGCCCCCCCAATGTAGCACAGCAGCAGCACACGGCCGTCCGGAGCCTGGTTGGGAAAGAGCACCAAGCTGTAGATGGTGCCTGGTGGGGGGTCAAGGGGTGTGAGAGGGAGGTGAGGGAGGTCATACGGCAGTGGGAGAGAGCAAGGAGGATGAGGCTCGGTCGGGAGACAGGAAATAGAACAGGGGAGGGAGGGCAGGCACAGACAGTAGTATGAAGCACAGTTGGGACAGAGGAGGGAGGAGCATGTATCAGAGGGTGGCTGGACTTAAGAAGAATGGGCATGGTCACAGCAAGGAGCATGGAGCCCAGACAGGGAAAAAGTGAGGTATATCGTGGAACAGAGTAGTATACTAGATGCGGTCTGCCGATATCGCCTAGGCTCCATCTCGCTCTCAACCATCCCTCCCGCCCATCCCTCCCGCCCATCCCCTCAACCATCTCTGTGAACCATCCCTCAACCAACCTCAAGCTTGCCTGGCAACCTATGCCTCACCCAGAGTGACGATCCCCTGGGTGCGCGGGTGCAACTGCCCAAAGCCCTTGAGCTCCCTTCACTTCCCCGCCCACCTCGTGTCCGGTTCTCCCTAGGCTCCTTCATCCCACTCCTCCCCAAACATCCTACTTACCCAAAGTGACAATCCCCCTGGGTGCGCGGGTGCAGCTGCCCAAAGCCCTTGAGCTCGCCGCCCACGAGCCTGTCCTCTCGAATGGCCTCTTTGGGGTACGAGATGGTCACTGCTGCCACGGGTGGGTAGTAGAAGGCTGAGAGGGCGGCTGCTGCTGCTGCCTGTGGGAGGGGTGAGGAGGGGCGGAGGAATGGCAGGCAAGGAAATGAGAGGGATAGAGGGGAATCAGTGCAGTGCATTCAGTTCGCCCCCCACCAGGCGGTCGCCTCCCATGGGTGGGCTGTAGTGCTGTCGCTTTTTGAGACGTCTCAAAACCCAAGGCACGTTTGCAAGAGAGCAGGGGGAATGCTCACCGAGTAGGGCTTGAGGAGGTCAGCAGCAACGTATGAGGGCACGGTGAGCAGCAGGGAGCGTGCAGGGAGCTGCTTTGCGCCCTCGGGAGTGTTGTAGGACAGCAGGAAGCCGCTGCCACCTGGCCGCTTCTCTATCGCTGTCAGCTTCCACCCGAGCCTCACTCGGTCGTCGAGCCTGGAGGGCAGGTTCACAAAAGGGTAGGTCGGTGGAACGAAATGTGATGTGGGAATTAGGTGATCATGTGTTCTTTAGAGTGGTGTGGTGTGGTGTGGTGTGGTGTGCTGTGGCATGGCATAGCATGGCATGGCATGTCACAGTGGTAACCTATTATACTATATGATGGAGGATCATGGCACCACGTCGTATAGCAATGCAAGCCATGCCATGGCATGGCATGGGAGGGAGACCTACAATAGGAGAGGTTAAGAGGGATTGTGCGGAATGGGAAAAGAATGCAAGGTAGATAATGGCTGAGCATCGGACGGAATATTAAAGCATAAGCACAGAGATTGAGGGGGGATAGGAGGGGACGTTATGCATGTGGGATCCATAAAGAGGGAATTACAGGAGATAGGAGAGAAAAGGAGGGGAAGAGGGGGTAGGGTTAGGGATTTGAGATGGGGTGAAGGGACGTGAATTTTTATCCGCAAAGTTTGAGGGCCGACAAAACTGCATGTGAGGGAAAGATACGGCGTGATAGTAAATGAGAGGGCATCAACCCACCGCTGGGTGATTGGATGGCATGAGATGACAGAAGAAGGGATGCGAAACAGAATGCAACAGAGTGAGAGAGTGTGATAGGTGACGGTGTAGCAGTGGAGGGCATAAGAGAGCAGGAACGAGGAGTGGAGGGAGGGATTGGAGATGGCATAGAATGTGGTGTGGGGTAATGATCGCGTATGAAAGAGAATGATCTGGGGTACCCTGTCAGGATGGGGGAGGGTATAGCAGGGGAGGGTATAGCAGATGAGGGCATACGTGGGATTGTGCGTCGCGATGTGTGGGAGAATGTGATGCCCTAATGGAGTAAGACAGGGAATGGTATTGCTGGAGATGCCATAGGAGTGGATGAAAGGGATTATGAAAGGGGATAATATGATAAGCTGTTGGTCATAGCAGGAAACAACATAAGAGGGGATGTACATGAGTATGTGGGGGGATGAGGACGGGTCGGATAGGGATGGGCACAACCTGAGATGGGATATCGAGAGTTTGAGTGGATGAGTGAAATTTGAGGGCAGATTCAATCACGGGAGCAGGAGAGGGTGTTAAAGGGTATGCTTGGCGATGATCAGGCATGTGGGGTACTAGTAGGGTATGAGAGAGAATGAGAGAAGACTAGAGGGACGGATATGCTACAGGTGATGAGAGAGAAAAAACTTTTTAAGATGGCTGGATAAGGGGGGGTGGTAAATTTCGATCTGGCAGAAGATAGAAAGAGAGGAATAACAAGAAGAGATTAGGAAGTAGATTTAAAGGGTGAAGCAATGGGAGGACATAAACGGGGATGGGAGGGTATGAATACGGAGGGGCTTGCATGAGAGGACAAAAATGGGGATGAATGGTAGGACATGGGATCAGAATGAGAGGGGATGAGAGAGGAAGATAGGGGAGGGGACAAAACCCGATGGAATAACAAGTCATTATAGGGAATGACTAACCCTGGAAATCGAGGGCTGGATAGTGGACGAGAGAGGATGAGAGGGAAGAGTAGGGCGAGAGAAATAACAAGAGGGAATGTGAGGGGCTGAATACAAGCGTGCTTCCTCCATCATCCCCCACTCTTTCCCCCTCACTCAGCGGTCTGGCCGGGTGCTGGCCAGGTTCAGCCAGGCCTGGCATGTTAGGCCTGGCCCGGTTTGGCCAGGCCTGTTCATCCCCACGGAGCCTTGGGGTTTGGGGTTTGGGGGGAGGTGGTTTTTGCCAGCCATCCTAGTGAATTGCAATCCCCGAGCTCATCCCGTGCCAAACCCTACTGATATTTGCATGTGCATGATCTGAAACATGCCCGTTCTATTCTGAAACATGCACGTGCAAAGCCTGACCTGACATGAGGCAAGAGATTGCATGATCGGGGATGAGAGGGGAAAATACTCGGCCTGCGGTCTCTCATTCTGCGCTGGGCGCATTGCAGGCCGCGTGAGAGACGCCTAAGGCAGGGAAGTTGAAGTGCAGTGAGTGAGTCCCTAAACCTGGATGAGGTTGGTGAGCGGTGAGCCCCCACGGGGGAGCAGTCACATGTTTCTGGAAGTCATCAAGGGCAGGGCAGTTCAAGTAAAGTGGAGTGAGGGAGTGAGCGAACCTTGACGATGTTGGTGAGGTGGTCGTATGGCTCAAAGCGGAATGGCTGTGGGGCGAAGAAGCCTGCAAACACCTGCCCTAGAACCGGTGGGGAGGGAGAGGGGGGAGAGAGAGGAGAGAGAGAGAGAGAGAGTGGCGGGGTTGAGTAAAAGCAAGGAAAGGGTGGGCTCACCGCTGAGCGCATAGCGCTGGCCGCGAGAGAGCAGCTATGCGCCCAGGAGTCAGGATTCCGCAGGGCGAATAGCGCTGGAGGGAGAGGCGCAATGCGCCCAGCGGTGAGCAATTTGCTGAGCGCATTGCTGGCCGCGAGAGAGGCGCAATGCGCCCAGCGGAATGCGCAATCCGCTGAGCGCATTGCTGGCCGCGAGAGAGGCGCAATGCGCCCAGCAGATGCACAATCCGCTGAGCGCATTGCTGGCCGCGAGAGAGGCGCAATGCGCCCAGCGGAATGCGCAATCCGCTGAGCGCATTGCTGGCCGCGAGAGAGGCGCAATGCGCCCAGCGGAATGCGCATAGCTTGGCGCATAGCTGGCCGCGAGATGCGCGCTACGCGCCCAGCGGCGAGCATTCCGCTGGGCGCATAGCGCTGGCCGCGAGATGCGCGCTACGCGCCCAGCGGCGAGCATTCTGCTGGGCGCATAGCGCTGGCCGCGAGATGCGCGCTACGCGCCCAGCGGCGAGCATTCCGCTGGGCGCATAGCGCTGGCTGCGAGACAGGCGCTATGCGCCCAGCGGCGAGCATTCAGAATTTCGAAGAATGGATAGATTCGAGTAGGTTCAGCATATAGGGAAGAGAAAGGGACAGAGACGCACCTCTGATACGGATCAGCTGTAACTCGAGCTTCCGTGAATTTGATGGGGGGTAATAAGTCTGCTGAGAAGTCCTTTCTAGTAAGTTAGTGTGGAGTGTGATTGGGCTAGAGCAGGATGACGGGGAGCAATCTGGTGGGCCACGGGAAGCTTGTAGCTTTGCAGGTTGGGTTGATCTTAGTGTGCACGCGGTGTACAATACGCTTGGTTCTGGTTCGGTTGAGTGGCGTACGTGGTTCAGGAGGACGTGGGTACATCACAGCTCGTGGATTGGTTTGGCGCGAGCGGGAAACCGTCAAATCAGGGTCATGTCAGAGTTGATTTCATCGAAGTTACCATTCGCGTGATGGGCTGTGTATAGTTACCAAACGTGTTAAGCAAGTTACCAAACGTGTTAAGCAAGTTACCAAACGCGTTAAGCGGGTTACCAAACGCGATGAAATCGTTATCGTACGCGTTACAGAGCCCCATGTAAGTTACCATTTACATATTTTCCCTTGAATCATCATGTGAATAGCTGGTGGATGACTTGGTGCGTGCATTTCAATTATTCCACGTCAGCGACCGTGACCCGTTTGGGACACTCAGCCAATCTAAGTAAATTTCATGCCACATCTCACCTGACGTGGCATGACTTGTGGACGCCAAGCCTCCCTCTGACTCCATACCTTCAGCAGAAGTGACGTTTTGCGAACCGGGCCTTGTTTGTTGCTTGCCATGGCCAAGTTCTTGAACAAAGTTTTGGCGCGAAACCGAGCCTCGAAGAGGTACGGCGTCAAAAAACTGGCTCGGCTGCTTTACTTGTGCCTGTTGCTCAGACCTACCTAGGGACGAACCAGGTCCAAACCAGGCCTGAAACCTGCTCCCAAGGCTCTCCCAAATTTCAGTAATGCTGCTGGGAATTGGTCAGCAGCACATTCACACAATTCCCAAGGGCATCTTCCTGGTCCGTGCGCTCCTGGGTTCTGCCTTGCCTGCTCTGCAGGTTCTGCCCTGCAATTCTGGAGCACACTGAATAAATTTCGTGCAATAGAGCAGAATTGGCGACGGAGGTCGTAAGAGGTGATCTCTTTTTCTCCCTAATTGTCTCGGAGAGAAAGGTTTGGTCAGGCCGGCCGGAGCGTTGTGCATTTTTTTCAGACTAGTGATCTGACATTGCCGTAATGGCTGCATCCAGCAGACAGCAATGGATGCGCTGCGTGCGGAGCCTGGGAGTCGTTATTAGCAACACCGGCTCACGGCCAGTCGTGAACCATTCCCGGCCTCTCACCTCCCTCGCCGACGCTCCCGCTCGCCATGGCCTTCCCAGCATGCTGGGAGCTTTCTCCGCTCGCTCCACCGGCATGGCGGCCGAGATTCGTGCCAGGAATGCCGCTCAAGGGTTCCGTTCCATCTCCGTCGACGCATTGAAGCCTAGCGACACTTTCCCTCGCCGTCATAACAGCATCACCCCTCCAGAGGCCCAAGCCATGGCCGAGTTTTGCGGCTTCGAATCCGTCGATGCTCTCGTCACTGCGACCGTTCCGAAGGACATCAGACGCCAGCCGATGCAGCTGGGCAAGTACACGGAGGGATTTCCGGAAAACGAGATGCTCGAGCGCTTTAAAGACATGGCTTCTAAGAACAAGGTTCTCAAGTCATTCATCGGCATGGGTTACCACGGAACCATTGTCCCGCCGGTCATTCTTCGTAACTTACTTGAGAATCCCGGCTGGTACACCCAGTACACTCCGTACCAGGCGGAAATCGCCCAGGGACGTCTGGAATCGCTCCTCAACTTCCAAACCTTGATTACTGACCTCACGGCAATGCCGATGTCTAATGCGTCTCTGCTTGATGAAGGAACCGCAGCAGCGGAAGCCATGGCCATGTGCCTCAACATCAGCCGAGGGAAGAAGACCAAATTCTACATCTCCAACCTGTGCCACCCGCAGACCATCGACGTGTGTCTGACACGCGCGGATGGGCTTGGGATCGAAGCCATTGTCGGCGACCACACGAAATTCGACTACTCCAAGAAGGACGTCTGCGGCGTGCTTGTGCAGTACCCTGCGACGGACGGCACCCTGATCGACTACTCCGATTTCGTCGTCAAGGCTCACGAAAACGGTGCGAAGGTCGTCATGGCGACGGATCTGCTCGCGCTGACGGTCGTCCGGCCGCCCGGCGAGCTCGGCGCGGATATGGTGGTCGGTTCGGCACAGAGGTTCGGCGTGCCGATGGGGTACGGTGGTCCCCACGCGGCGTTCCTAGCCACGTCAGCGGAGTATAAGCGACTGATGCCTGGGAGGATTATCGGAGTGAGCATTGACGCGCAGGGGAATCCGGCTCTGCGCATGGCGATGCAGACGAGGGAGCAGCACATTAGGCGAGACAAGGCCACCAGCAACATTTGCACGGCGCAGGTACGGATGGCAGCGATGAATGCAGGGTCCAACACTCTATGGTCAGGTATCACGTTTTGACAAGCACTTCAATTCGAAGAATTGCGTATTCACATGCACCTATTTTTCTGGAATTGCCCGTTAAGAGGCAGTTAATGTCCAAGGATGAGCTGTTGAGAGTCTGATCAACGTGCCCACCGTAGACGCCGTGTGTCTCTAGCCCCAAGGCCTCAATGTGTCTTTTCCCTCTCGTCCATCTCGTCCTTCTCGTTTTCTCGACCTTCCGCTCCCCTTCTGTCCTCCATCGTCCTCTCTCAGGCGCTCCTCGCCAACATGGCCGCGATGTACGCCGTGTATCACGGCCCCGCGGGTCTCAAGGACATCGCGAACCGCGTGCACGGGCTCGCGGCGGTCTTCGCCAAGGGCGTGGAGATGGCTGGCGCCGGCACCGTCGCCAAGGAGCCGTTCTTCGACACGGTGAAGGTGACCGTTGGCGGCGGAAAGGCTGCTGACGTGGCGGCTGCTGCGGTGAAAGAGGGGATGAACCTGCGCGTGCTGGACGCTGACACGGTGAGCGGAAAGAGAGATTGGAAATGTATTTGGGAGTCGAGTAGATGTTGGTCTCAAGGAAATTGACCACCGCGTGGGTGCTTGGCGGTGAAGGAGGGGATGAACCTGCGCGTGCTGGACGCTGTCACGCTGTCTGGACGGTGAGGAGAAGGGGAGGATACTAAGGTTCAACAGAAAGGGAAGAGAATGGAAGGGAGGGTGTGCTGGCACGGTGAGGGGATGCTGGGGCTGTGAGGAAGTGAGAGCATTGTTCAGGTTTGGAGAGAAAGAGAAGTTTGGGGAAATGTTGCAATGGTGAAGAATTTCTTTACATTGGGGAGGGAAGGATGTACGATTTGAGGAAAAGAAGATCAGTTGGAATTGGGAGATGCTAGGGAGGGTTTCGGGACGTTGTGGAGGCTTATGCAGAGTGTGATGGTGGTGGTCATAAAGCGGGGGGGAGAGGAAATTGCAGAGTGTTATGTTTAAGATAGCGACTTGAGTCGTGATTGGGGATAATGGTAGAATCTAATGTGGATGGGATCGGGATCGACGGAGGAGAAGGAAGGTTGCGAACAAAGTGCAGCGCAAGTGAATTAACATGTGCGTACTGCGCCTCCACACCTTCTTCCCTTCTCAACCCGTTTTCTCTCTTTCCAATGACAGATCACTGTTGCGTTCGACGAGACAAGCACCATTGCTGACGTGGACGCTCTCCTGAAGGTCGTGGCCGGGAAGCAGGTGAGGCGCAATGGGGGGGACAAGCGGGCGCTGGGCGAGTGTTCGTGAGGCAATGGGCGTGGGATATGGGGCGCTGGGCACTAGGCACGGGGCATGGGGCAGGGGGCACGGGGCATGGGGCATGGGGCATGGGACACGGGGCAGAGGGCTCGAAGCACGGGGCATGGGACATTGGGCACGGGGCACGGGACATGGGGCATGGGGCGTGGGGCTGGGCCGGAACAACAATGAGTTAACGTCCATCCAGGCATCGAAGTAATCGAAGCTGAATCCATTACGTCTCATAGCATCACTTATTTCATTTTCGCAGCATGGAGAAGCACTGTCCTCTGACGTGCTTCTCCATGTCGCCAACCCCTCTCTCCGCCCACTTCCCGTGGACCACCTCCCTACAGTGAGTTCATGCCGAACTCCAATGCACTGAACTCCATTGCACCGAGCTCCATTGCACCGAGCTCCATTGCACCGAGCTCCATTGCACCGATCTCCAACACGCCGGCTCCCTTCGTGCCACAGTGATGTGCATCGTATATTTGACTTCTCGTCTGTTGTGTTGTCTCCTGTGCCATGATCCATCCCCTCCCCTGATCCCTCCCTCCAGCCTGCCTTCACAGCGGAGTCCATTGCTCCGCAAGTGGACGCAGCTCTGCCCAAGTCGCTGGAGAGGGAGAGCGCCTTCCTCACTCACCCCATCTTCAACGCGTGAGTGCAAGGAAGGCCACCTTTGAGTCGCTTCTTGTAAAAGGATCTCAGAAGCACTTCACAAGTTGCTGGAGAGGGAGAGCGCCTTCCCCCCACTCACCCCATCTTCAACGCGTGAATGCAAGGATGGTGCTCGAGGGATACAATGCCTCTCTCACTCACACCAGAATTCAATCCAGCGCAATGCACGAGTGTAGCGCATTCTATTACCGCGTCCTGCACCCCAACATGATTGCCCTGGGTATGTACCTCTCTTCTGTGCACTCCATGATCGCCTTGGAGATGTACCTCTCTCCCGTGCACTCCATGATCGCCCTGGGCTCGTGCACAATGAAGCTCCTCTTTAGCCCCACACCCCTGGAATCTCATGTGCCTCCCATCCAACCTCCCTTCCTCTCCTCCTCTCCTCCTCCCCTCCCCTACTCTTCCCCCCCTCCTCACTTCCTCTTCTCCCTTTTACCTCGCGTCCCCCCCCTCCCCCCTTCCCCCAGCTACCACTCAGAGCACGAGCTGCTGCGCTACCTGCACCGCCTGCATTGCAGTCCGTCCCTTCCCTCAAAACTTCCCCTCTTCCCATGCCTTATCCCCCCCTCTCGTCCACCTCCCCACCCCAGCTACCACTCAGAGCACGAGCTACTGCGCCACCTGCACCGCCTGCAGGCGAAGGACTTGTCTCTCGTGCACTCCATGATCGCCCTCGGCTCCTACACCATGAAGCTCCACTCCCCATCCACACCTGCCAACACCCCTCAAGCGTCAAGTGCCTCAACCCCCCCCCCCCCCCCCCCCCCCCCCCCCCCCCCCTCCTCCCTTCCTCCCTCCCCCCTCCTCCCTCTCCTTCCCTCCCCTCCCTTCTCCCCCTTTCCCCCCTCTCCAACACCCCACAGCTACCACTCAGAGCACGAGTTGCTGCGCTACCTGCACCGCCTGCAGGCGAAGGACTTGTCCCTCGTGCACTCCATGATCGCCCTCGGCTCCTGCACCATGAAGCTCAACGCCACGGCCGAGATGATCCCCATCACATGGCCTGAGCTCGCCAACATCCACCCCTTCGCACCCCTCGACCAGACCAACGGCTACCAGGTACACCGTCCATTCTCCTTTCTCAGAGTGAGTCTTTCACACAGCTGCTGCCAATGTGGGGCTCTCACACACCAATCTCTCACCCACAGAGGCAGACCTTGGCGCATTCAGTCTTTCCCAGGTTTACACACCAACGCCTGTCCTATGTTGGGGGCCTCTCTTCTGCTGGGTTCATGCACCACGAATCTCTCCTGACTGCATTGGCACCTCCATCCGTTCTCAGACTTCCCTTTCCTTCCATCCGCCGCCCTTCACCACCTCAGGAGATGTTCAACGACCTGGGCGCCATGCTGGCGGAGATCACTGGCTTCGACTGAAACGCTCAGCCGTCACACGGTCTTACTCAACCTCACTCAACCGCACCCCCTGTTCCGCCACTCAGGAGATGTTCAACGACCTGGGCGCCATGCTGGCGGAGATCACCGGCTTCGACTCCGTCTCCCTGCAGCCCAACGCGGGTGCTGCTGGCGAATACGCAGGGCTCATGGCCATCCGCGCTTACCACCAGGTAGGGAGATACGGGTACTTCGTGAAACATGCCCCTTCGCACGCACCACCAGGTAGGGAGATACGCTATGATGAGTACTGACTGGTTGGCAGTCATAGTTGTGCCTGGGGCTCATGAGTTATCCTCGGGGAAGTCTCCCTGCAGCCCAACGCGGGTGCTGCCGGCGAGTACGCAGGGCTCATGGCCATCCACGCTTACCACCAGGTAGGGAGATGGGGTACTGCTCGTCATACGTGTACTGCTTGAGTTATCTCTCTAAGGTCTTCTCTGAACTCCAACGCTGGTGCTGCTGGCGAGTATGCAGGCCTCATGGCCATCCGCGCTTATCACCAGTTAGGGAGATATGGGTACTGTTAGAAACATTTTACTGCTTGAGTTACTTCTCAATCTCTTTCTTGGGTGATGCTGGGGAGTACGCTGGGCTCATGCCCCTTCGCACACACCACCAGGCAGGGGGGTATCATGAGCACTGATTGTTCGGTAGGCATTGTCGTGCATGTGTCGCCCCCCTTCCCACCCTTCCCACCCATCTCTCCCCTCCCTTCCCTTTCCTCACTTCCTCCAATACCCACATCTCACTCCCTCCCAGACCACCGCCAAATGTAGATTCCAAGACTTCCTCCTCTATTCCTTTCTTCCGTTTCCCCCCCGCCCTCTCCCTCAACCCCACCTCAGTCCCATAGCGACCACCATCGCAACGTGTGCATCATCTGCGAGTTGGCGTGCATCATCCGCGAGTTGGCGTGCATCATCCGCGAGTTGGCGCATGGCATGAACCCAGCGAGTGCAGCCATGTGTGGCATGAGCTTCCCTCTTTTCCACTTCTCACTGCCGCTCCACCCCACTGCTCCCCTCCCTCCCGTCCCTTGCAGTCCCACGGCGTCCACCATCGCAACGTGTGCATTATCCCCGTGTCAGCCCACAGCACCAACCCAGCGAGCTCTGTTTCATAAGCTTGCCTCTTTCCCACTTCTCCCTTCCTGCATTACCCCCAGTCTCGTGGCGACCACCATCGCAACGTGTGCATCATCCCCGTTTCAGCCCATGGCACCAACCCCGCGAGTGCAGCCATGTGCGGGATGAAGGTTGTTGCTGTGGGTATGGACGACTAGGGCAACGTCAAGCCCTCTCCTTCCTCCTTTCTCTTTCCCCCTCAACCCCACCCAGTCCCGTGGCGACCACCATCGCAACGTGTGCATCATCCCTGTGTCAGCGCACGGCACCAACCCTGCGAGTGCAGCCATGTGTGGGATGAAGATTGTCGCAGTGGGCACGGACGACAAGGGCAACGTGAACATCGCTGAGCTGAAAGCGGCTGCTGAGAAGCACAAGGACGACCTCGCGGCCCTCATGGTGAGTGTGTAGGGTTGGGAGAGTGGGGAAGAGGAGGGGTGGCCTTTGAGGCGCCTCAAAAACGACTTTTGAGGCGCCTCCAAAGTCGACCTCGCTGCCCCCATGGTGAGTGGGTGGGGTTGGGAGAGTGGGGAAGAAGAGAGGTGGCCATTTAGTCGGGGTAAGGTAATCTGCTTCCCTTTGCTGGGGTAAGGCAAGGTACCTTGGGGAGTGAAGACTACAGCAGTGGGTAATGTGAACATCGCTGAGCACAAGGACGACCTCTCTGCCCTCGTGGTGCGTGTGTGTGTGTGCGGGGGAGAGGGGGAGGGTGGGAGGGTGGTCCTGTAATCAGGGTAATCCTCTCCTCTTTGCTGGGGTAAGGCAAGGCTGCTTTGGGAATGGAGATCGTGGCAGTGGGCAGTGGGGGGCCAATGGACAACAAGGGCATCGTCAACATAGCTGAGCTCATGGTGACTGGGGAGGCTTGCAAGATGGCTTCATGGCAGCTAGACACTATGCCTGCTCATCTATCCCTCCCTACCTCTTCCATATTCTCCCTCCCTCCTCCCCTGCCTCACTCCTTCCCTCCCTTCCGCTCCCCTCCTTAGCGGTTCTATCCTTTTCAGTCAGTCCCACTCTTGTTCTCTCAGCCCTTTCAAATCTTGCCCATTTTCCATGTGCCTTACCATGTGTGCGTGGGCCCCTACATGACTGCAGATCACGTACCCATCGACCCACGGCGTGTACGAGGAGGGTGTTGACGAGATTTGCCGCATCATCCACGCCAATGGCGGCCAAGTGTACATGGATGGCGCCAACATGAACGCCCAGGTGAGCCCCAAGCTTGCATGCATGCACGCATGCATACAGATAACAGTGATTGTGCCTCCATGCTGCATCATCCACGCCAATGGCGGCCAAGTGTACATGGATGGCGCCGACATGAACGCTCAGGTGAGTTTTGAGCATGATAGATGTTCGGATGAACGCATTACAGCGGACGGATGGTGCTACTAACCTGAATGCAGTGGTAGGGTAGGAGCATCAACTATCAAGGCCAGTCAGTCATCCATACTCTGCACAAACCATTTCGCACACATACATGGAACTCCCATTCGGTGACCCTTTTCCACTTATTCTCCTCCTTGCCCCATGCCTGAACACATCTCTGGTCTTCATCTCCCTATTGGTCGGCCTCACCAGCCCCGGGCACATAGGAGTGGACATGTGCCATTTCAACCTGCACAAGACCTCTATTCACCCATGCTCGCCCCTCCTCCTCTTGTATCTCCATCCTGCCTTCGTATCATCCCTCCAGGTCGGCCTCACCAGCCCCGGGCACATAGGAGTGGACATGTGCCATTTCAACCTGCACAAGACCTCTATTCACCCATGCTCGCCCCTCCTCCTCTTGTATCTCCATCCTGCCTTCGTATCATCCCTCCAGGTCGGCCTCACCAGCCCCGGGCACATAGGAGCGGACGTGTGCCATCTCAACCTGCACAAGACCTTCTGCATTCCCCACGGAGGGGGCGGTCCCGGCATGGGCCCCATTGGCGTCAAGGCACACCTCGCCCCCTTCCTGCCTTCCCACCCTGTGGTATGTTCACCTCTACCCCTGCCCGCGTGAGTACTTTTATGCCTCCTCTTTCTAGTCTTGAGACGTATTAAAACCCTAACTCATTAACACCCTCCCACCCCACCCATCACGTCCCCACTGGAGGCATCCCCCCTCCCCATCCCGGCTCAGTGGGCAAGAAGATGAGAGTTATTGCCGCTGCTCCCTAGGGGTCCGCGGTTATCCTGTTGATTGCCACCGCCCACCTCATAAACGACTCATGTTATGCCTTACAACCCTACGACACCCCACCGAGTTGACTTTTGAGTCGACTCAAAAGTCAAACTGTTGATTGCCACCGCCCACCTCATAAACGACTCATGCTATGCCTTACAATCCTACGACACCCCATCCGTCAGGTCAGGTCCCCACTGGCGGCATCTCCCCTCCCCATCCCAGCTCAGTGGGCAAGCAGATGGGCGCCATTGCCGCTGCTCCTGGGGGCTCTGCGCTCATCCTCCCGATAGCCACCACTCACCTCATACTTACCACACCACCCCTACTAATCCACCCCACCAATCAGGTTCCCACTGAAAACATTCCCCCTCCCCCTCCTGGCTCAGTGGGCAAGCAGATGGGCGCCATTGCCGCTGCTCCTGGGGGCTCAGCACTCATCCTTCCCTCATACTGACTCAGGTTATACCTTGCAATTGTTCCCCACCCATCAGGTCCCTGCCGGAGGCATCCCCCCTCCCCCTCCCGGCTCGGTTGGCAAGCAGATGGGCGCTATTGCTGCTGCTCCCTGGGCTCGGCGCTCATCCCACCCATCGTCTCCACCCGTCTCACTCATGTTATGCCTTACCACCCCATCCCATCCCACCTCACCCTACCCCACCCACCAGGTCCCCACTGGAGGCATCCCCCCTCCCCCTCCCGGCTCGGTCGGCAAGCAGATGGGCGCCATTGCCGCTGCTCCCTGGGGGTCTGCGCTCATCCCACCCTTCATCACCACCCGCCTCACTCATGTTATGCCTTACCACCCCATCCCATCCCAACCCACCCTACCCCACCCACCAGGTCCCCACTGGAGGCATCCCCCCTCCCCCTCCCGGCTCGGTCGGCAAGCAGATGGGCGCCATTGCCGCTGCCCCCTGGGGGTCTGCGCTCATCCTGCCCATCTCCTTCATGTACATCGCCATGATGGGCGCCCAAGGGCTCACTGATGCTTCACGACTCGCCATCTTGAACGCCAACTACATGGCCAAGAGGCTGGAGGTAGGTGCACTAGTTTCAAGTTGGGGAGGTCTTGAATGGTAGCCGCCTGTATGGTATGTCAGCTCATCCTGCCCATCTCCTTCATATACATCAACAGAATGTTGGTGCCAGGAATTATTTGACCTTCCCCTCCAAGCCCTTCCCTCCCTTTCCTCCCTCCCTATCCCCCATCCCTATCCTCCCTCCTTATCCTCCCTCCCTATCTCCCCTCCCTATCCTCCCTTCCTATCCTCCCTTCCTATACGGCCTTCCTATCCTCTCTGTTGACTTAACTTAACCTGCAGAACCACCATGTAGTGCTGTTCAGGGGCGCCAACGGCAATTGTTGTTCTCAGATCACTCTATCCTCAATCTCTGTCTTCCCAAACCCCCCCTATCCTCGCTCCCTTCACCTGCAGAACCACTACCCTGTGCTGTTCAGGGGCGCCAACGGCACTTGCGCTCACGAATTTATCATCGACCTCAGGGGATTCAAGGTGGGTTTCAGGTGAAGCATCAAGTGGAACAGCAGGTAAAAAATCAGCTATGAGCCCTTGAGTTCAACAAATTGGTCATTCCTTTTCCAATTTGTTACCTGCTTTCTTTTGGCAAGGGTGACCTCGGTCCTTGCCCCAAAATGATAGAAGTGATTGACGCGACAAAGCGATTGATGGACTGTGGCTCGTGTGGCTTCTTAAGCTAAGGGTGTGTAAGATCCCCGTGCACACGTTTTGGCTGAATTTTGTCGACCATTTTGGTCGACAAAGCTTTCGCGAAGGTCGACAGATTAGTCGTCACCAGGTCGACAAATTTTCGGCCAACTCAGTGTGGCCTCCAAATCTGACACGGTTTTGCTGGCCGCTGTAACAGAGGTGGAAGATTTCGGTTTGTCCTTTTTTACGACTTGGTGCGACGATGTCGCACACATGAATACGATGTCGCAATTTCACTGTAGCAGCGTATGCGACTTCGTTTCTCACTGTAGACAGCTGCTGTCGACAGCATGGCCGATTTGAAGTCGACCACGCGTCGGAAAAGAGTCGACTAGTTTTCCGGCCATCAAATCACAAATTTGATGGTTGAAATTGACGAGATTCGCAAACCGATCACGAAATGGTTACTTTCGCTACGGCCACCTAATTTTGATGGCCGATTCTGTGTGCACGGGGATCTTACACGCCCTAACATGATTTCAACTCAATTGCTTTCCCCCCACCAGGGCACGGCACACATTGAGCCAGAGGACGTGGCAAAGCGGCTGATGGACTATGGCTTCCACGCACCCACCATGTCATGGCCCGTGCCCGGCACTCTCATGATCGAACCCACTGAGTCTGAGAGCAAGGTGAGTTTGTGTGGAGTCGAGGGTATTCTGTTGCCATGGGGGTTGTCATGTCGGTGGGCACATGCTGCCTGCGTCATGCACGCTTTCATGGTTAACTGTTTGTTCCCAGTTAATGAGTGAACGGAATGGCACTATTCACGCATGCACACCCTTACCCTCCATTATTCCCCTACCCCTGTCCCTTGTGTGTTGCCTTCACCCTTTTCGCCTATCACCCTTTCTTCCACGCTTATATGCCTATCACTCACATTCTTCAGGCCGAGCTGGACCGTTTCTGTGATGCAATGATTGCGATCCGGGAGGAGATCCGAGCCATTGAGGAGGGGCGGGCTGACAAGGCTAACAACACGCTCAAGAATGCCCCCCACCCCGCCTCTGTGGTGATTGCTGATGAGTGGACCAAGCCCTACCCACGTGAGCAAGCAGCCTTCCCTGCTCCTTGGGTTCGAGCTGCCAAGTTCTGGCCCACCACAGGGCGCATCGATAATGTGTATGGTGACCGTAACCTGGTGGCGGTCTTGCCCCCGGCGGATTCTGCGTAAGGGCAGAGGTTACGCTCCTCCAATTCCAAGAGATTACGACCATTTTGTTGGTTCATTCTAATTAGGTTATTTGAGTACAAAATAATCTTATCGTGTGCACCCTTGAATGTGCCTGCTGGTATTCCCATATTTCCTTCTGTACCTACTACCATAATGTTCTAGATAGTGTCAGCAGTGAAGAAATTTTGGTACACCTGAAAATCGTTACCACACGAAAATTATCCAGAGTTGCAACAACACAAGTACGAGCTGCTAGTGAGAGCCGTTGCTGAAGTGAAATGTCGTTCGGGTACCGTGGTCTTGGTTTGGTGATCAGAGCTTCGGCAACCAATAGCATGGGTCGTTGCTGCCAAGGAAAATGGTCAAAGCAAAGGGGGTGTGAGATGAAGTGGGCGAATTTCACCTTGTCATACCAAAATCCCCAGTATGTTGCTAAGCTAGGAGAAAGCCACCAATAAGGGAGCTTCGTTTCCTTACAAGGCGGGAAAAGTTCTTGTCGTGCCTCCCTCTTCTACCTTAGTTCTCCGAACCTCTGCAATTCCGTACCTGTAGCGAGCCTTGCCCAAACCAGCACGTAGGTCCGTCATAGCGGCACACTCGGTACGTCCGTCCTTGGCTGCGCTGGCAGTTGTTGCAGGAACGAAAGCTGGGGGCGGGGCTCTCCTTGCCGTGACCTTGTCCCCTACGCTCACTTCCGTGCGAGCATTTGGGGGATGTTAAGAACTAACCTCACCCAACCGCGATGATATAAAAATAAACCGTTATACCACACAAAACTCTCACATCAAACGGCCTTCAAGTGATCATCCCTCCTGTTGTCCTCGGAGAGGCGAGGTGAGGTGAGGGGAGGGGAGTGGGCGAGGTGTTTCATCTGGCTGTGAGCTTTCTGCGCAGCTTTGCTTGCTGCTGCTGGTGTTTCTGCAGCGGTAGTTTCCGCTGCAATCAAGCAGTATCCACTCCTAGCAGCCTTAGGACATAGCTCTGGGTTAGGGGTTTCAACTCGAGCAAGCTGGAAGCCTTCCGAGCAAGCGCTTACGAGATCGTGGTGGTAACACCTAAGGCGGAAGAAGTACAACCATTTGCGTTAGTTTTTTTCCGAGGGGTTGGCGTTTCTGCGGATTCCCTTAGGTTAGGTTTACCACCTCGTTGGTCAACATGTTCTGGCGAGTAGCGGGCCTCGCTGCAACCTCACCGGTCAGTCCGTAGCCATTTTTCGTGATCGCAGTTTCAGCCTCGTGACTAGAAGGATCTGACGGGTGTGCTAGCTTATTTTCGTATTTCCAGGTTGATTTAATTCTTGACAGAGATCAGTATACCCTTGAGGAGTTACTGGACGAGGATGATCTTATTCAGGAATGCAAGTCTCTGAACAACCGGCTTGTAAACTTGTATGTATTATAATCGAAATCTACCGCTAGTTGTGATGCGATTGCGCATCGTTTCTCACCGTAGGTTTCCCGGGACATGCCTGTTTCCAGCCTTAAAGGGAAGCCGCAAGTTGAGAAGATGATCCGATATGTGGTGGAGGCACCTCCCGACGATGGAGATGCTAAGCGGACATTCAAGTATGCGCTGCGACATCCGTTTTTAGCTTAAGTTGGAATTTGTTGAGAGCACTCAGACGATCTTCTGATTTGTTTGCAGATTCCCGTTTATCTCGTGCGAAGTCTTTACATGCGACATTGATCAGATATTAACGACAGTGGTCGAGGAAGAAGAGGTATTTGTTGCTCAAATGTTGGATAAGTAGGAAATTGTTACTTATATCCATGAGGATGTAGCTGCTCGGTGAATAAGCGCTGAAGTTACCATTTTGATTTAATGCAGATTATGGATCTGCTTTTCTCCTTCACAAATCCAGATCGCTCGCACTCGAACCTTCTTGCAGGGTACTTCAGCAAGGTATGCTCATAAGCTTTATGGAGACCAACATCTCTTGAGAAATGTTTTGTACTCTGCGTTTGAATGCCATTGTCCTAACAAATCCTATTATTTTGTCAGGTGGCTGTCTCGCTTCTTATTCGAAAAACTCCTGAAGTGATGTCGTACCTTCAGGTGCGTGTTGTCTTTTTTTTCCCCCTGTTTTCGCCTCGCTTCTTTAAATGATTTAGTCGCTAATAAATGTCGTGCATGTGAAACTGAAACTATTACAGAGGCATCCAGAGGTTCTGGATAACCTGATTCGACTGATTGGGATCACTTCCGTAATGGAGGTACGTATTCGTATGGGAGATTATAAGCCGACGCAAGTTAACCATTTCGTACAGGAGAACGTGCAACATTCACTTTCTATGTTTATGTTGCGGATATTGGTATAACTGCGTGTGTATTGTGTAATGATCAGGTCGTGATGAAGCTTGTGGGAGCAGATGATCAAATCATGATGTATCATTCCGACAAACTGGAATGGCTGGCTGAGACGAGCCTACTGGACACATTGCTGTCCCAGCTTAGTGCTCAGGTAGCGTAGCAGCCACTATCCCTCGCCGTTACGTTCACTGTTCTTCGCGAAATAATTTTCGTTCTACGGATTTCGAACATAGCGTGTTTTTCTCGTTGTGTCTCCCAGAGCTCTTCAGATGTTCATGCGAACGCGGCCGAGTGCCTGTCGGCCATCGCGAGAACAGCCCCATCCGCATTGGCCGCTCAGTTGTCAACCCCCAAGTGAGCATTCGCTTTTTTTGTTAAAATCTTATAAATTGATACTGATCTATCCTTTTACTTAGGTACGTTGGTAATGTGTGATTTGTGCATTCAGGTACATTGGGAAGTTTTTCGAACATGTGCTGGAAGGCCCGAGATCGATGACATCCGTCATCAACTCCCTGTCCGTTTGCATCACGTTACTCGACCCAAAGCGTGCTCCGCCTCCTGGCGTCATGCGCAACCAGCTACAATATCAGCTGCAGACCCAGCAGTATCAGCAGCAGCAGCAAGTGATCTCTGTGGAGACTGTTGAAGGGATGGTTCAGCGACTGGGTAAGCAGCCGGAGCTTGATAGTCAGTGTTGCATCCCGTGTCCTGTAGTGTTAGTATCAATGGCCGAGAATTTCATTTTTGGGTGCTCTTTACCCTCACTCGTGTCTCGCACGCATATTTGTTATGGCTCTGTTTCAGGCGAGCTAATTGGCATTCTAGACCTTTCAAACGACGACAAGGTTCTCCCGACAACCTATGGAGAGCTACGGCCGCCACTTGGCATTCACCGTCTCAAGGTACAGGGGTCAAAGCCAGTTTGAAGCGTATTTTATTTCCGCCTGAATACCCCTGCACGTCGTCTCCCGTATTCATGAATTCCTCACCTGCTTATTGCCTCGACAGATTGTGGAGTTCATTGGGGTGCTTCTTGGCACCAACAGCGAGCTTGTGCGCCAGGAGCTTGTGAGGCTAGGCGGCGTGCGCACCTGTTTGGATCTCTTTTTCAGGTGCAGATTTTTCCTGTTTGATCTTCCCCCGTTTGTTCCTGTTTCCCAAGTTTCTGTCGTTCGACTGCCTTGATTTCACCGTAAATATCCCTGCCCTTTTTTCTCTCCATCCTTTGTTTCCACCAAGATCTCGGTTTTTCCCCTCCTTCCCCTGCCATATGTTTCGCCTGATGGGTGCCCACTCCGTATCCTCAGATTTCACTTCAACAACTTTTTGCATCACCACGTGGAGAGGATGGTAATGGCCATTCTTGAGAGCGGCAGCTCGTTGCTGCTGGAGCATCTCTTCGTGGAGTGTGACATCCTCAACCGGATCATGACCGCCTATGACGACCCCCATGCGCCAGATTCACGCCCAGAGGTACGTGTTACCTCTCCCTCGCTCCCATGTCAGCCTGCCATCGTTGTTGCCCGTTTGTTCGTTCTCAGTAAACTAACTCCTCCCCTGCTCCCATGTCAGCCTGCCATCGTTGCCCGTTTGTTCGTTCTTTGTAAACTAACTCATCCCTGCTCCCATGTCAGCCTGCCGTTGTTGTTGCCCGCCTCTTCCTCCGACTGCGCGAACGTGAACGTTTCAGTTGCTTGTTGTCGTCTTCTCTCTTAAAAGCGTGGCCTTGCGTGTGTGGTGCTTGCTGCAGCCGCGATCTGCGTCAGCGAGAGTGCCTGCACGGAGCGGGTACATGGGTCACCTGACGAGAATAGCCAACAGGATCTGCCAGTTGGCAGCGTCAAACTCTCAGATCGAGGCTCACGTTCAGGTATGTGCGTGTGAGCGTGCGATTTTTAGGAACGACCCCATCGGGTGCATGTAACACGTTTGTGATCCACGTGGCCCCGGGCATGCATGTCGTGTGTGGACGTCCAGGCGTCGAATGTGTTAGCATTAGAAAAGCACGTTAAGTAAACAGGAACTGAACGGGTCACGCTCAGAAAAACATGTCAAGTGAGAACAGGAATTGAAGGGGTAATGGTTTAGATGGGGGCATTGAATATCCTGCCGGCTGAGGGAGTTTTTTAGAGGGAAGAGGGGGGTTGTGTGAGGTGAAATGCGAGGAAAGGAGGGGTGGGGGTTGGGTGGGGAAAGGGGTGGGGGAGGGGGGGTGTAAGAGTAGGGTGTAAGAGTTGCAGGTAATGTCTGTAAATTTTCGTAACAACTGTTGGATATTTTGTGGCCTGGCTCTTCCTTTTTCTTTTCCAGGCGAATCCACGGTGGGCGGATTGGCAGAAGAACGTTCTCAGAAAACGACTTTTGCTCGAGAATGTCTACCAGTGGTCTTGCGGGTACGCCTTCGTTTGCACCCATCTCTCGCGTTCTGTCACTCCCACCAACCAAAAGTTCCATTGTTTCGTGGCTTCATCTGTCGATTCCCACCCTTGCAAGCTTAAATGAATCAAGATGATATTGCTGCCAGCTTCTCTGCATAACATGGTCTCTCATCACATGCCACCATCTCCTCTCACCATATCCCACACATTCTGGCCGGTTTTCCAGCCAGCCAGCAGCGTGGGACGATCATAGAACTCACATGCCCCTGTCCTCCCCTCACCGTATCCCACCCATTGTTGCCGGTTTACCAGCCGGCCAGCAGCACTGGACGACCGGCCAGGCGACAGTGACGATGACAAGTTCAACAGCCGTGACCGGGACTTTGACATCTCCACCGTCTCTCTGTCACACGCCCGTCTCCCCCCACTATATCCCATTGTATCCCACCGTATCCCACCCACTCCCACCGCTCTACCAGCCGACCAGCAGCGCTGGACGACCGGCCAGGCGACAGTGACGACGATGAGTTCAACAGCCGCGACAGGGACTTTGACATCTCCACCATCTCGCTCACAGGGGGCTCGAACGCCAACAGGAGCTACCAATACGCTTATGGGCAGTCGCTGCTTGACTCAGACGATGTGGAAGAGGTATGATGCCGCGTCTCCTCCTTGAGCTTTAACACAACTCAGAAATCGCCGCTGTGCTTTGACTCTTCTATCCGCACCTTGCTTTTGTCGTATTCCTCTTCCCCTCCCCCCCCCCCCCCTCTCCCATTCCCCTCCCTGGCTCCTTTCCCTTTGAGTCTTAATTTGTCTTCTCCGGCGTTGCATTCCACTGCTTTGAACGTTTCAGTTTCCCTGTCGTTCTGTTTCCTCCACTTTCTCGGGTCCCCACTCTCATTCACCCTTTTCTTTCTCAACTCAGCCTGTGTTTTTTCTGTTGAAGCGCTGTCACTTGCTTGTTTGCCTGTTGCTTGCTTGATGGTCGCTGCTGCCCCTCCTCCCTCTCTCTGTCGCCGCGCTCTAGCTCTTGCTCCGATGTAGCAGCAGCTGCTGCTGCATCTGCCACGCAATGCAAGCCAACCGCAGCTTCAGTAGCGGCAGCCGCAGCAGCTACTCATCCTTGTGCCAGGGGGTTGTGCTTGCTGTTGTGAACTGCATGTGGGGCTGTTACTCGCTCTGGTGTGGCGCGTCTCCGTTGCTCTCAGGGCCACGAGCTCAGGGATCCCGTAAGTACTCCATTCCACCTCCCCTCCCCTCCCCCTTTCCGCACCTCGTCCCCTTACCCCCCCCTCCCCTTGGCCCCCGCTTCCCGTTTCCTGCCCTCTCCTCTCCTTCCCCCTTCCCTCCCCTTCCCCCACCCCTGGCTTTTTAAACATCATAGCTGCACTCTGCCTTCTGTGGTTAACAAATTTCTGTATATTCAATTGTTTCTGACGTGCTATCAACATTTGGTGGTTTCCTAAGTACCAGCATTTTCGTTGCCTGTTTTCTTCTGCTTCGCCAATGAAATGGGTGTAGCAAAGGCATGAGTCAGTGTGAGGAGTGGTTGCTGCAGCAGCTGTCAAAATTACTGCATCCTGCTCTTGCCTGTCTTGCAGTATGACGTGGATCTGGTTAAGGCAGAACAAGAAATCGAGACCTTGGCCCTCACTGAGAATGCACCCACAAGGTAAAGCTGTGTTTTCTCGCCTTTTTGTTGGCCTGTCATGCATTCATGTGGCCCATCTCAGTGCTCTTATACATCATATGTATCAGCAGCCCATCATATGTCTTGTTCAGAAGGATAACAGTAGTGCTTGATGGAAGTGCTTCCCATCATACTCATTACCTTTGCTTTGAGCTGGCCATTCAGTCGACTCGAGAAACTCACCGAGCCACATCTTTTTTCCCACATGCCCTCTACTGTGCGTCCCAGTGGGGCGTCTGAGCTGCTGCCCACGCCTGCTGCTGAGGAGCCGGACAAGCCTCTGTCCAGTGACAAGCCCGAGGGTGAAGACGCTGCAGATGAAGAGGAGGAGGAAGGCTCCGAGCAGACTGGCACTGATGAATCCGGTTTCAAGTGAGCAGGCTGGACATGATTTCCAGCCTTTTTTTTGCCGATTTATCGGCGCTTTCGTGCGTGCGCTGCACATCAGCGTCACACATACGCTGTTCTTTCTGTGACATTTGTCCTTGTGCATTCTCGATGTTAACCCACCACCGCCTCCCTTTTTTCCCCTTCCCCCCTGTCCCCATTGATGACCATTTTTGCTTGTTACATTGGACTCTCCACATTGCATTTCCTTTCATCTCCATGCTTCAATCTGTCTGCCCCTTGTCATTCCCCTGCCACTCAATTTGTCTCTCTCAACATGCTTACCCAGGCCGTTGCTGCTGGACGGTCCCAGCAGCCTGTTCACATCATCAGAGGCAGCACAAACCGCATGGGTGGCGTTTCAAGAGGAGCAGCAGCAGATGGCCGCAGTGGGTGATGGTGGAGAGAATATGGCGGGACTAGCTGAAGCGGCAGCCGAAGGGGCGGCTGAAGGGATATCAAAAGATGCAGCTGCAGGGGAAGGTGAAGTGGCAGTGGTAGCCGCTGCAGCTGTAGATGAAGCATCCGAAGTTACAAGAAGCAGTGAAAGTTCTGGTGCTGTTGCTGTCACTGATACGGATGTTGCTGCCACAAACACTGACAAGTCTTCTGGGGTTGATGCAGCAGAGATCATTGAGGGGTCAGTCAGCGTTGAAGCAGTCACTCAAGAATTGAGTGTTGAGTCAGGAAGCACCCAGCAGGCTGTGGACGTTTTTGAGAATTCGCCCGTTGTTGCAGCTTCCATGCCAGAGGCAATAACAGAAGAAACTTCTGCTGCTCAATCTGACAACGTCGCAACTGCTCCACTCACAGATGCTTCAACAGGCACACCAACTGACACCACGCTAGGTGAAAGCAGAACTGAATCCTCGGTCACTGACACAACCGCAACCGAAATTCCCGTAGCAGCAGGTGGTGTAGCAGAGGGAAGCTCAATTGAAGGGAAAATCAAGGGTGGGGGGGGGGACGGGTGAAGCAGAAGCAGGGCAGCAAGACTCTCAGGGAGGTAGCAGTGAAGGGCAGTCAGGAGCAGAAGCTGATAGCAGTGGAGTTGCTGCTGTTGCAGCTGTTGTGTCGACATCAGGAAATGCTTCATTCGAGGTCCAACCAGGTTCAGCAAATAGCGAGGCGTCTGCTGCGGATAGTGAATCGGCGCAATGAGAAAGCTGTGGAGTTCCTTTCTCAAGCGTGGAGTAACTGCAACCGTAATTGTTCAACATGCCATCCATCGGGCTACTGTTTGTTATACCCCATCACACTAGCATAGCTTTTTGCCAACTAAAAACCGCCAGTTGCGTTCCCCCATTCCTTCTACTGGTATTCTGGTGCTGTCTGGTGTTAGATCGAGTATCCCAGCATAGTCACTTGAATTAGAAAACGCTGTCGAGCAGACAGGTTGTATGTGACCTAGGTTCCATGCTTGGATCAAAACGCTTGGTATCCCGAGGAGCTGGGAACCGCTACATTGAAATATTTGCATTGTTCTAGTGCATGATTCAAACCGTTCTCACTCCTGGGAGCAGGAATCAAGAGACAAGCAAATACCCCACACTGTGAATTTTGGAGAATGCAAATTATGTACAAGCAGGTAAAAAATTTCCTACATGTGTGTACTGTAGGTTGGAGTGCTTTCCTTTTATAATCTCATACGGTAGTTACCGCTTTTGGCTGCCACAAGCTACAAGAACAAAGCAAATGGATGCTCTGCAAAAATACACAGTGCCATAACCGCAAACCAGGAAGGAACTGGTGTGCGTGCGTGGCATTTATTAATCAATGTCAAAATTCCCTAGTAGACTCATTGGTTGGCTTGGGAAGGGCATGTGATCGGCATACGAGCCGTAAGAGGTCCTTCAACTTGGAAGCATTTAGCTGCAAACACATTCCATTCAAACAGCAGAGAACATTTACTCATTAGATAAGCAGAAATGAAACCTTTCACTAGCGAAAACATCAGCATCTTACAGGTTTGCTCAAGTACGAATCCATCCCTGCATCGATACATTTCATTCCATCTCCAATCAGAGCTTGAGCAGTCATCTGCAAACAGGGCGCACACTTATTAGCTTATGCTATGCTGACAGACAGCATTTGTCAAAACACCATCCACAAGCATTACAGCAATGATTGGCGTGTGGTGGTTCTTCGTAGACTCGTAGTCTCTGATCCTCTTGGTTGCCTGCAGTCCATCACAAACTGGCATTTGGACCTGAATGTGTACATCAGAGGGATGGGCAGAAAATAAATAACTGTCACTGAGACCAAGAATGTATGGCATATGTAGGAAAGAAACGAAGGTCCTAGAACTTACATCCATTAGTATCACATCAAAGTCCTCCGTCTGAACCTTCTTCACAGCTTCTTCACCATTACTGGCCAGCACTGCTTCATGCCCCCATTTTCGCAAAAGTGTCAATGCCACCCGTTGGTTCACAATGTTATCCTCTGCAACCAAGACCTTCAAGCTCTTGTCACTTGCAGCTGCTGCAGCCACCTCATCCGAAGTAGCTGAGTTTGTGCTGGACAGCCGATCCTACAGAACCACAGCAGCTCAATTAAACTTCACTCACCTTAGAACACAAGTACCACAGTATGGAAGTAAGAGAACATAATAAGATCCTTACACTGAGAGGGAGATTCTGTGCCTGCTTGACCCTTCGAACAAGCACTTTCCGTTTGACAGGCTTGGGAACATAGAACTCTACACCAAGATCCTGGCACCTGTTCATAAGGCAAAAATCGGTGACCGAGGTGGGAAAAACCATGTGAAGGAAGAAAGACACGCTTACTTACAATGTCTTGTCGTCGGTATCCCCAGGTGTCAATAACACAACGGGAAGAACTTCATCTTCATCCCTTCTGAATGCCTGCGGGCAATCAGTTCTGCTGGAAAAAGACTGTGACTGGCTGCCTTCCTGGATCTGCATCACTTCATGGCTGGTCGTCCCTTCCTCTAAGCCAGCCCCTGAAATTGATTGCTGCCGATGAGTCTGGCAAGGCACTTCTGAATCTGGCGTGGGTGAACCAGGGTGCTCGGCAAGGTCCTCAATTTCTTGCACAGCACTGCTCCTGTTGTTTCCATTCATAAATCGACACCCGGACTTGTCTGAATGAAGCAGACCCTGCTCTTTAATGTGGTGAAGCAGCCATTTGCAGTTGACGTGAGAGGACCTTGGGCTGTTGTCCCCATCGCCAATTTTGGAGTCAACAATCAGCAGGGTGTAAGGTAACTCGTCATACACTGCTCTTGGAAGCCTTTCCATGGCTGCGATTGCATCAGCAGCTTCATCCGCCTTCACATCCATTTTCTGCACAGATTATAGTAATAACAAATAAAAAACTAAATGGCACACTTGCAGAATAATCAGTACCATTGATCCAAAGTCAACATGTTGGTTGCAGTAACACTGGACAAACCCTACCTCGAGAGTCGAAATGATAGACTTCCTGGTTGATTCATTTTCATCCACAACCAAGAAACGCAGATGGTTACATTTTGGGCACAGACAGCCACATGGAATCAGCTTTGGTGACGGGACAATCTTGGCTGGTATGGCGAACTTGGCAGTAAAAAAGAACGTCGATCCTTTGCCTTCGTCGCTCTCAACCCACATATGGCCACCCATGGCATTGGCCAGGCGGGAAGAGATCATCAACCCCAAACCCGTCCCTCCATACAGCCTGAAACACCGCGAAGTGCTTTTTAAGCGATGAACAAGAATGGACTAGTGTTGGAAACGAAACGTCTCAGAATGAACCGTGTTCACCTTGCGTCTGATGCGTGGACCTGACTGAATGCTTGAAACAAAAGTGATTGTTTCGCCTGAGGTATGCCAATCCCTGGTAGACAAGGTTAGCATGATGGTTACAAGTTGGGACAATAGGTGCCTGAGGATACCAAAAGCAGTGAAAACAGACAAACCTGTGTCTTTAACTGAAAAAAGAACCTCTGCCACACGATCCCTAGCAGAGACCAGAATTGCTGACAGCAGAACCTCTCCCTTTTCAGTAAATTTGATACCATTTCCTGCAAAAACATCACTGACCAGCATGATGAAAACTTCCTCACCAGAGATTGTAAGAGTTATACGTAACCATTGCTTACCCACGAGATTGATGAAGATCTGAAGAAGCCGTCCAGGGTCACCCATAAGAACTTCAGGCATATCTGATGACTTCAACCATGATACAAGTGTAAGCCCTTTCTTCCTTGCCCTCGTTGCAAGGACTGATACGGCATGCTCCATCTACAGAAAATTCCACACAAACCAATTTTTACAACATTTGAAGTTCAACAGAGGCATGTTATAAGAAGCCAATAAGTACCTGGTCTTCTAAGGAAAACTCAATATTTTCCAGATCCATCTTCCCAGCCTCGATTTTGCTGAAGTCCAAGATGTCGGCAATCAGGCGCAGAAGGTGCTTCGCAGAATACAAAGACTGCACCACACAGAAAAAGAACAAATTGATTCCAGGCCCAACAGAATCAATAGATTCTTGCTCAACTTAGGGGAACGCTTACCAGCTCAAGATACTCCACCTGTTCGGTGCTAAGAGGAGTATCCAAACAAAGCTCTGTGCAATTGATAATGCCATTCAGGGGTGTTCTGATTTCATGCGACATGTTCGCCAGAAACTCTGATTTTGCCTTGTCTGCTGAGACTGCCTGCTCCTTCGCATCCTGAAGCTGTAACTCAATCTTCTTCCTTTCCTCCACCTCAGCAGACAAACCCTCGTTCAGAAGTGCAAGATCCCGAGTCCGCTCCACTACCTGACCCAGAATATACTTCATCTGGTTCAAAAACTGCAGCAGATATTTAAACAGCAAAAAGAAAAATAATTGGACACAGGACGGCACACCTTCTGTTCCAAAGTCGAGTATGAAGATGAGATTTGATCAGCCATGTAGTTGAAGACACAGCAAAGCTCATCAATCTCGTCCTTCAAGCAGCCTCGTCGACCGTGGGCTCTTGCACTGTAATCACCACGTGCAAGATTGCTAGCTGCATCACCAAGATCCATGATTGGATGAGAGAAATACTGCAACATAGAAGGATTGGACATTGTCAGTCAGACATTTGTTCTGCACATGGTGAGAATATGTACGTCAGGGAACATAAAAGCGCCATCATACCTTGGCCAGTAAAAATGCTGCCAGAATTCCCAGAACAAAAATGCAAGACATTGAGATGAGAATAATCTTTTCGAGCTTCTTGGTTGAGGAATATGCTTCTGCTTTGTCAACTGTGGCTGCCAGACCTGCAAGTCCGAGTGCATGATAAGGAAGAGCAAAATAATCAAAATGGTGCATGAAAAGGAATTCACGAGGCCTTGCAGAAGCAAGACCAGAGAGCACGGTATGAATAAATATTAGGATGAGGTAATAAAGAACCACTGCATACCCCAGTTATCATAACCAATAGGCCGGTACGAAGCTATGACATCAACTCCACGAAAGTCAAGCCCTTCAAAATAACCAATCTGGCCTTCTGCCGCCATAAACGCAACTCCCTTGTATGTCGTGTTCATAACAGAAGGAGCTTTCACTGGAGGAATAATGAAATTGACCAAGTTCTCGTTCTCAGTGAGATAGGCAACGACAAGCTGTCCTGTGGACTGAAGTCCAGTATCATCTTGCACAATTTGCTTGAACTTCTTGGCATCGAGTTTGGCCACAATAATTCCGCAGAAGACTTCCTGAAGGGTAGAAAACAACAACATAGTTTTAGCCAACAGTGACAGTTTGAAACGAGAATAAAAAACGGGCAAGACAATCAGTGCACCTGGTGGTAGACGGGAGCTGCAACATCGATTAGCAGAGTATGATTGTACCCAGCGTACGGGATTCCAGACCACACTGACGTGTTTCGATTCCTAACACTCAAGGCCCGTCCATGCAACCGTTTCGGCAGTGGCTTCACATCAGCTGGATGTCTGCTGGAGAACAACAGTCCGCCATCATCGCTGTACGCTCCTAAGGACATGACATTAGCTGCACTCATTACGGCAGAGTTGAGATCCTCGGTGCCCTCTTTGCTGTTACTCTTTGTGAGATTTGCCTCCCCTTGCATGTGCTTGAAAAGCAAAGACGAAATGACGACCCGAGATGCGATCAGTTTCACCGTGTCTTGATTCCCCGTGATGTAACTGAGTATCTGAAACCGCACGAACAAAATTAGAATAACAAACACCAGCTCGAACGGGCGTAAGATAAAAAAACCAGCCATTGTACCTGTTCTTGCCGAAGGCTCGCAACGATGCTGAGCCTTTCCCGTATTTCTTCCGTCAACGTTGCCTTTGACAGCCTCCAGAGGACGATAGCTGGAACCCCCGAACAAATCAGCACCAGAGCGCCCACAAAAAAGGTCAACTTCACCCAAATCTTCGGCTGGAACCTACGCCGTGGCACACGAGGAGGACTTTGAGCCACGCCATCTGCAAGAAAGGTAAACAATCACATCATGTGAGCATCCGTGCTGAGGTATTACGCACAAAGGATTAACGAGAAAACAGTCGCACTGACTATGGTGAATCTCAACCGATGTAGAGTCCTCAGGACGCATGTTGCGATCCTAAACTTGGCACGAAAGGATCCCCCCCTGCGATATCTCTGAAGGCAAGATTGACCTTGTTAGTCTCGCTAAGCGCAACGGTACCAGAGATCGAGTTTCCTAACCGACGAAGCCACACGCGCGAGAGAAGAAATACGGGCCGTCGCATGCGCAACAGAAATGGGCAACGATCACAAGTTACTGGGAGCGACCTCTGTGCAGCCAAGACTGAAGAACCAAGAAAGGCGGGCTTCATGGTGCTCAGGTCGCTTCGAGTGACCCTTGCTTCCACGCTATGGTAGTAGATTTGCTGTGACATCGAAGCTTGAAACGTGATGGTTACGCCTGAACGTAACAAAATCCCCAGATTTCCTTTCCAGAGGACGATTCGAAAGGAAGGACGGCAATTGACGACTCTTTGCAGAACGGTTGCAAATCCTACTGAATTCAAGTCTAAGCGGTAGACTAGGTTGCTCGAACGTCATGCAGGCTTCAGTTGCGACGGTTGAGGTCATCTATGCGAACGAATGGCTCCACTAGATTTCTTACAAGCTCTTAGTCATTGCCTTGCCTCCTGCAACACCATTCGACGGTGCTTCTGTGGCGGCTGACGCTGTACGCGTTCTACTAGGGGTAAGTTGGACCACGTGAAGGAGCCAGCTTGTCATAACAGAAATGCCATGCAGTGCTTGACACAGGTGGTTACTCGAATTTGAAATTCAGGGTGGAATTCTTGTCAGCTCCTCTGTTCGGAAGGGGTGGCGTGGCGACGCCACAGGTTCGAAGGGACAGCCTGCCTGACCCCTGTCCCAGGGGTCAACATTCGATAGCGACATACCTGCCGATTACGCAGTTCATTTTGGTGTACAGTAATTTTGATGAGGATTGGCCCACCTCGGTAAAGTGATCATTGAAGTGGTAAGTACTTGGAACAAATAATGTGTCTATCCGCAATAGTGATATTTTGCATTGTCACATTATTACGGACGGGAAGGCAGGGTACAGAATTGTATGCCAAATAAGATGCAGATAATCAACGTTTAGAGGAAGGTTTGCACTGCTACTTGGACTTAAAGCCTTCCACCGACGGGGCAATTGTTGAGGGCAGCCAAGTCACTAGCCCTCAAGCATTCCGCATCAAGTACTCATCAACGTTAGCCTTGATGGCGCTCAAAGCACCTTCCGAAGTGAACTTCATTCGGTCATCCTTAACTGTAATCAGCGCCTTAGCCTGAAACGCATTCGCGTATGCGTTAGGGTTGCAGAATACCTCAATGAAAACATCCCCGTTATTGACGTCTCCCTTATGACGATACTCCATCGTGGTCCATCGCTGTGGTCGGGTGGCCTTCTCCTTCTCCCGGAAGGTTTGCAGGAGGTTGGATATGGCGGCATCGAGAGCCTTGGCCTTTTCCAAGGAGAACGGGATGGAGAGACTCGTTTCACCGATCTGGAATGATATAGGTGCTTCTGTTGGGGGTGGAAAGGGACATGGTAATTGGGGATGGAGGGAAAGGTTTCTTTACGCCGAGAAAATTAAGAAACAGACATCAAATAATCTTCATAGCTTCAGAATTTAAGAATTCTTACAAAACGGAGCACGCTTCGTACGGGAAAGATGAATGTGACAGACGTTTGGCTCTAAGCTTCCATTTATTCAGCACACATTGCTTCGTATCGAAACTTCAAAGTCATCTAGGATAGAAATTCGTGTCTCAATCTATTGCGTTCTGAAAATCACGCCGTTCCAGCATTTTCATGTTCTCGAGAAACTAATCACCTGAGCTCGCCAGCCAAAAGAAGCTGTCCATGAAGCAAGCAACGTGTGTATCTTTGTGTGTAATAGCTTTCGTAAGTACTTCTTCGGTACTTCTTCTTTGCTCACCTTCGGCGGTCGCCTGGGAACGAATGACAGCGCGCCGAGCCGCAGGTCTGAAGGAAAGGCCACGCGACTGCCTCCCAATGGTAAAATTACATCGCCCGACTGAGGCCCGCGACACGCTAATCGAGCTGGAAGCCGGAGAGGCTAGCTGCAGCGAATTCTTGCCTTTGCTTGTCGCTGCGCAAGAAACCGATAGGGATGCACAACGCGGAAGAGGAGTGGCGACTGCCTGTGCCATCGCAAATCGGTTGAGCAGGAAATGGAAGGAAATAACCAGCAGTTGTTCCTGAACTTCCGAATCGGGTGCAAGATATCTCGTTCCCTAGGCTGATACAAGAGCAACAGCTGAGCATGCGAGAATTGAGAAATTTATTGGGCGCAAATGCGTTAGCTGAATTGTGTTTGATGAAGTGGAATGGGTGGGTGGGGTGTGGATTGCTTGCGAAATGCTGCATTTTGGGTTGACGAGCCGCATGCTGACGGGGATTGATGGCGCCACAAGTGTAACCCTCACGATCCCGACAGAAGAAATGAACGGATGACGCGTGGAATGCACTGATCTGGTGGAGTGAATGAGTCAGGACGACTCACATGCTGTTCAGGAACCTGTGCATTCGTGAAGGAGACTCCGATAATATGAACCCGCGCTGTATAAAAATCCTGCGTTGCATACATTTTAACTCGTTGAAACTTGCACTAAGAAATGAAGTGATGTACACTCTGCAATGAAGACATGCATACTATCAGGTGCTCCTCACCAGGCCCTTGAATCCGTATGTTCCAATAAGAAACCAACCAACCAAAAGAACTGAAAATCCTAACCAGAAGATAACAAACGTGAGCCCTGCCGAATAGATCCCGAGAACCATCACTATCAGGAAAGGTGCAAATGCCCCTACCATTGCTCTGTTACTAACCCATTTACCGTGTCGAAACATAAGCGCAGCAAGCTCCACCACATTCCAAGTCGCACTTCCGTTGTAAGCCATCCGATTGAGGCAGCAGGCCACAAAGGAATGGCAATTAGAGGTGAAAATGTTGTAGAAAGCATGCTGATATGTCCGTACTGTTGCTGCCAAAGCCTGGTCCCAACTCTGAGACGTGCCATAGTCTGCATGGTAAAAGGGTGTGCTGCAGATGTGCCCTGACAAGTTGGATGGCAGACACGCCTGGAAGGGGAGCGTGAAGCCCAGGCGGGAAGAGGGAAAGATGTAATGCAGAGGGAAAGAAGTAAGGATGCCATCCAGAGGGCAGGAGGGAAGGATGCTATGCAGAGAAGAGGGGGGAAGGATGCAATGAAAAGGAGGGAAGGATGGAACGCAGGGAAGGAGGGGAAGGATGGAACGCAGGGAAGGAGGGGAGGATATGCAATGGAGAGGGGGTTAGGGAAAGGATGCAATCAAGGGAAGGAGGGAAAGGATGCAATCAAGGGAAGGAGGGAAAGGATGCAATCAAGGGAAGGAGGAAAAGGATGCAATCAAGGGAAGGAGGGAAAGGGTGCAATCAAGGGAAGGAGGGAAAGGATGCAATCAAGGGAAGGAGGGAAAGCATGCAACAGAGAAGGAAGGACGGGAAGGATGGAACACAGAGGGAAGGTAGTGATTGATGCAATGCAGAAAGAAGGGAGGGAGAGGACGCAATGCGGAGGGAACGTGGGTAGGGATGGAACGCAATGGGAAGGAGGGAAGGATGTAATGCAAATGGAAGGAGAGGACGGTGGAATGCAAAGGAAAAAAAGGAAGGACTGAATGCAGAGGGAAGGTGGGGAAGGATGGAGCACAGAAGGATCGGAAGAAGGAAGGCAGAGGGAAGGTGGGTAAGGAAAGGATGCAACGCACAGAACAGGAGGGAAACGATGGAGCACAGAGGGAAGATGGGGAAGGATGGAACGCAGAGGGAAGGTGGGGAAGGATGGAACACAGAAGGATCGGAAGAAGGAAGGCAGAGGGAAGGTGGGTAAGGAAAGGATGCAACGCACAGAACAGGAGGGAAACGATGGAGCACAGAGCGAAGATGGAGAAGGATGGAACGCAGAGGGAAGGTGGGGAAGGATGGAACACAGAGGGAAGGTGGGTAAGGATGGAACACAGAGGGAAGGATTGGAGGATGGAATGTAGAGGGAAGGCTGCAAAGGTCCACTTCCCAGAGGGGCCCAAAGGTGAGGAAGGGGGAAAGGGAAGCAGGTATTGGGAGCAAACGGGGGAGCGGTTGGGAGGGGAAACGGGGGGGCGAAAAAGGGACCGGGCCTAGAGAGAAAGAAGTCGCAATAACGGACGTGCGGACTCTAAACTCATTCAGGCGGGAGAGGAATTTCTTTCACCCACCTTTGCTGGGTCTAACTGAAGGTATCGCGAAGCAGCTCCAAACGCGAAATTATCCACGCAGACGAAATACGACCCTGCGAAGTCCAGAATGGTGCCGTCTTCCCGGCAAATTCCCAAGTGGCCAATGAACGGCACGAGCCACGCGATCACTGGCAGCGGCGTCCATACCAGGCAATAGGGGAATTTACCCGCGCTAGGGTTCACAGGAGGGAGCTCGACTTGATTGACCAAGTCGAGATCTGCATGATTCGCATCTGAATTTAGAGTTGAGTTATTTACTGTAGACGTGCATGTCCTTTTGCTGCTAAATTCGTTGGCTCCGTTATGGCGATCAGGGTAAGGTTCTGGATGTTTGACGTAGGTGTCTGAGTAGCTTATTGACAGAGCCGTATGCTCGTTGGAGGAGTCTGAGAGGTTGAAAGGCATTGTCTCGTGGGTGTGGCTAGCGGCTTCCGTTTGTCTCTTCATAGCAATCCCGCTCTACGGCTGGAGCGATCGGAACTGCTGGCAAGTTCTTAGAGGGCTTACTGGTCTAATTTTGGTAAAAGCAGTCACATAAAAGCCGTCACGAAATTAGGGACCGAGGGATTGCAGAGTGATGCTATGCGATGCGGCTTTAGGGCAAGATGCTCTGCTTTATATGTCAGAGCGATCCCGTAAACGCTGCCTCGATACGACTTGTCGCGGGGTGAGCGTATAGATGGAACTGACAACTTTTCACAAGGGTATTATTACAGGTGGGTAGTGACACTGTACCCGAATCGTTTTCGCGGGAAATCATCAGTTCCATGGCGTCAGCACATATACTCTTGTAACGAATGTCGGTCCTGGCTCAACCATCCAACCAACAAGCCAGCCGAACTTCTGTACAGCAATATAGCGGAAACTCGAATTTACAAACTTCGCCCCCTCGATTGAGTGTCGCTGTTCCCTCTTGACACCTTGCCATTGGCGGGCGAATCGCTAGGTGTGTTGTGTGCACTGTACTTGCTGCTGATTGGCGAATGGCTCGTGCGCGCTTGGTGGGCGTGTCGCGAGGTGCGTTTCCTGCGGTTTTCGTCGGTTCCCCAAGTTCCAGGACGGCGAAGAACTAGCAACAGAGCACAACCGTTTTGAAACGCACTATACACCTATATTACTGGGAGCACATTGTGAACACAGCCAGAGTCACATGTTCTACTACCTAGCACATAGTAAACACAGCCATTGCTTGGCTCATTCTTGGGTTATTATATAGGCGGTCACAAACATGGGCTTGTTATCACAAAAAGTCTCTCGGCTATCGCGAACGGTCACAGAGCTATCATGGATGGTCACAAAAATCGGGATTCTATCACGGATGGTCACAAACTGCCCCACAAACTTATCACGTTTCGTCACTAAGACGAAACGTGCGGTGTACAAGCTGTAACGGCCTTAAACTGTCGAGATTTATGGACATGTAACCGGCAACTGGTTTTGTCATACTTGCGTAGTCTGGATATTTCTGTAGCGAGTCACGGAAGGGATGGTTACAAGAAATTGCATGCTTAAATTAAAAAAAAAACTAAAACATGGTTGATAAAGTCCATAGATGCGATTTTTTTAATATTTTTTTTTTCGGATGGTTTTTTTTATGCAAAAATTTAATGCAGGCTATGTCATTTTTTTCTCGGTTTAAATGGCTTTGATTCACGACTCGCAACGGATGTACATAAGATGTGTAAATAAGACAATTTTTTGCAGCTTTGAACAAGTTGGCGAAAATGATCGCGAATTTATTTCAAAGGTAACAGATTTTTTCGTGAGCGAGATAACTTTCCCCGAATCTCTACAGTTAATGGTTTAATTTCAACTTTCCTTTGAGGTAAAGGTAAAGGTTTTAGGGAAAACCCCCTTTGGTATTACCCCGGCTGTAACCCGCCTACCTATTTGTTTACACGCCTCGCTGAGTATCGAGGTTGTTGTATCCACTCCCAGATGAGCACCAGTGTAGTCCCTTTTAGTGGGGACTAGCTAATACGCCGCAGGGGGGATTTGATCCCGGGACCTCATCTTTCGGAAGTGAACCAGCTAACAGCTGGGCCACTTCAGGATTTCAACTTTCCTTTGAGCGTTTCATTGTGCGACCATACGTGATAGAGTCCTGAGGCAACGTTGTGACTATCCGTGATAAAATTCTAAATTTTGTGATCATCCGTGATAGATTCCTAGATTCTGTGACCGTTCGCGATAACCGGGAGACCATTCGTAATAACGAGCCAGTGTTTGTGACTCGCTATATAATTTCCCCTCATTCTTTCCCCCTCACCTTCCCATCCCCCCCAGCGTCTTGCTCGGACAGGTTTGCCACCTTTACTTACCTCTTTCCCCATTTGTCGCAGACCCCCGACGCATTATTTTGGAAACTGGTGTTGTTATTTTATAGCAGAAACATACGTAATCTGGCGATTGAGAAATATTCGGCCTCACGAAAATAGTCCATCGCTCCAGCGGGGGAAAACAGAATGGGCGCCTCTCTCCCGAACGAGTCGCCGTCACCGTCGCCGTCGCCGCGTCGCCACGAGTCGCTGAAGCGGCGTGCGAATCCGTACATCGTCGCAGGCGCGCTTCTAGTCATCGCATTCCTGGCCGTTCAGTACAACTCGTCGCGATCATGCGACGCGGAGCTGCAGCTGCAGCGACAGGCTCCCAACGACTCGCCCGGCCGTCTATCCGCGTTACATCCATACTACGCTAAGGCGCAGAGCGCGCTCGATATGGAGCTGTGCCGAGCGGAAGCGGCGTACGCGGCGAATAAGGCGCGCCGCGTGGCGTCGTTTAACGGCCTCCTGCAGCCGGCAGTTCTCTCAGTTGCTGATATGCTGACTAAGGCCATCGCTCCCATGTACCCCTGCCCTCGCGAACAACGGTTGGGCGTGTGGGGGGAAGGCGGAAAGGTGAGACGAGAAGGATGGGTAGGAGATGGGAAGGGGGGAAAGGAGGGAAAGAGAGGGGGTGGGGTGGGGAGGCAGGGAGGCAGCTAACATTGCTGTCCGTTCCTGCTATGCTGACTAAGGCCGTCAGGCAGCAAACATCGCTCTGATGTACCCCTGCCCCCTCGATCTATCCTCGCGAATCTGTCTCTTTCTTGCCACCCTCACTCTTTCCTCTCGTCACCCTCTCCCTCTCCTCCTCTTGCCTCCCTTACCCTTCCTCGTTCTCCAAGCTATAGGCGCTCTCCGTGTAGAAAAAGTGTCGTGTGCCATTGTAACGAGGTGACTTTTGAGTCGACTCAAAAGTCCCCTCTCCCTCTCCTCCTCTTGCCTCCCTTTCCCTTCCTCGTTCTCCTCTCCCCGTTCCCCCATTTCCCCCATTCCCCCGCTCCCCCCATTCCCCCATTCCCGCATTCCCCCATTCCCGCATTCCCCCATTCCCGCATTCCCCCATTCCCGCATTCCCCCATTCCCTTCCCCCATGCAGTGGGTCTGCATGCTGCCTACTGCCTTCCAAGCCCGACCTGTTGTGTACAGGTGCGTGGGGGTGGGGGAGAAGAAGGGCGTTCACGTGTAACTTTTGAGTCGACTCAAAAGTCACCTCTGTTGTGTACAGGTGCGTGGGGATGGGGATAAGAAGGGCGTTTACGTGTATGTGGGTGAGTGAGTGAGTGGGTGGGTGGGTGGGTAGGTGGGTGCTAGCTAGTGGGAGACGAAGGGGTTGTGCATGCGCCCCTCCCTCCACTTCCACCCTACCCCACCACCTTCCACTCCCCCTCTCCCCTTCCCCATCCCCTCCTCTCCTCTCCCCCCATTCCTACCCCTCCTCCCTTTAACCACAAGCCAGTGTGGGCAGCAAGGAGGACATTGCCAAGGCCACAGGAGCCGTCCCCCTCACCTTCGACCCTTTTCATCCCCCTAGAGACCCTGCACTGCACACCCGCCCTTCCCCTCCTGTTCTTGCCCCTCCTGTTCTTGCCCCTCCTGTTCTTGCCCCTCCTGTTCTTGCCCCTCCTGTTCTTGCCCCTCCCCTTGCACCAAGCCAGTGTGGGCAGCAAGGAGAGCTACTCGTTCGAGGAGGACATTGCCAAAGCCACAGGCGCCATACCCCTCACCTTCGACCCATTTATCTCTCAAGAGGCGCAACAACGCATGCTCGCCCTGCCCTTCCTCCGCTACTTCCCCGAAGGCCTCTCGGGCAGAGCGAAACTTTTCAAGAACAGGAAGATGTTTCCAAACTACACCTTTTCGACGCTGCCCGAGGTGAGTGAGAGGCGGGTGAATCACCTTGAGAATCTAACTGCTATCGAGGGTATGTTGCATTTCTGCATGATTGGGGGTGTTCATGCAAGATTTTCCAGAATTGAAGTGATAATAAGGGGTGATAGGGTGGTGACTAGGGGCGATAAAGGGTTATCAGGTCATGGTCACTCACAGCATTGCCTACATGGATGTGCTCACGATTGACTGATGGGTCATGCCCTTGTTACCCCACTCACCCCCTTCTCTTCCCAGCCCCCAGCTCATGGCTACTCACAGCACTGCCTACATGGATGTGCTCACGATTGACTGCGAGGGATTGATCCCCTCCTTTTATTTCACAACCTCTCCACTCCCCACCCCCTCCCCCCCCCACACCCCCCCTCTTTCCTCCTCTTCACACCTCAGCTCATGGCTGCTCACAGCACGGCCTACATGGATGGATGTGGTAGATCGAGATGATCCGAGACGTAGAGCAGGCCATGGGTGGGGAGGAAAGGGCCCCTTTCCTCCCCAGCCAGCTCATGGCCACGCATGGATGTGGTAGATTGAGATGATCCGAGACATAGAGCAGGCCACGGGTGGGGAGGAAAGGGGAGGAAACGACCCCCATTTCGTCTCCTCTTTTCCCCTTCCTCTCCTGCTTCTTCTTTCTTCAACCCTTCTCTTCACCCCTTACCCTCTTTCCCACCCCCAGCTCATGGCCACGCACAGCACTGACTACATGGATGTGCTCAAGATAGACTGCGAGGGGTGCGAGATTGAGATGATTCGAGACCTCGAGCAGGCAATGGAGGGGAATCCTGACTGACACCCTTCTTAGCCCACCGTTTTCCTCCCTTGTTGCCCCATCCTTTCGTCTCTCTCCTCCCCTCCCAGCTCATGGCCACGCACAGCACTGACTACATGGATGTGCTCAAGATAGACTGCGAGGGGTGCGAGGTTGACATGCTTCCTTCACCCCTCCTCTTCACAACCCCACCCGCAGCTTATGGCCACGCATAACACTGACTACATGGATGTGCTCAAGATAGACTGCGAGGGGTGTGAGATTGAGATGATTCGAGACCTGGAGCAGGCCGTGGGGGGAGATTCCAGGGCTGGGCTTGTGAGGTTCGGAGGGAAGCTCCCCTTTGGACAGCTGCTGGTGGAGTTTCACAAGTGAGTCGTTTTTTTTCTGTTATTTTCTTTTCTTCTTTATCCATGAAAAAAAAAAACATGTGTTGGTGTCGTTTGTGAATCTTGGTCTGTCATTTTCACAACTAGTTTCTTAGTCAGCCCTCCTCCCCCCCAACCACGTTCTTACTTCCACAATAAAAACAAAAAATGTGCACTCTCACTCGACTTCTCTGCCCCACGCTTTTCCTCCTGACTCCTCGTCCCTTCTATCCATCCTGCCCCCATCAAACAGGATTCATGTACCTAAAGTCACGCTGCCTCTCATCTACGCAATTGAGAACCTCGGTTACCGTATTTTCCACGTTGAAATGAACCCTCTCTGCTCCAAGTGTATGGAGGTGAGCTTTATACACGAGAGCCTGGTGCAGCCTTCTAACGAGGATGTCTGTTATGTAGATGATGGCAACGGGGGTAGTACGAGCACCAGCAGCAGCGGTGGTGACGGTGGCACCGGCAGCAGCGGTGGCAGCGGCGGTGATGGCAGTGGCAATGGCAGTGGCAGCAGTGACGGCAGCAATGGCAGTAGCAGCAACAGCAGCAACTGAAAATTCAGCAGCAGCTGGAGCAGCAGCAGCAGCAGAAGGATATCGGGCAATAACAGCAGTCTCAGCAAGATCAGCAGGGAGGGGAATGAGGAAGAATTGCAGAGACAGCAGGATTAGTTTGAAGCCACTTCCAGGATTGCTTCCCATTCCTCCAAACATCCACCTTAGCAGGATTTGTTTGTGTTGTGTACTGGTCACTACAGCACTAGAAGTATATGGCCTAAACATGTATGGCTAATACGGTATACAAGTGAAATACAAGAAGTAATTTGCAAAATCTTGGGATGTAGAGTATGGTTAGTAGGCTCAGACTATCCTGAACCCTTCACATCTCTATAAGCGTACCTGCAGGTGCTGTCCTATCAGCATACTTCTACAGTTAGCCATGATATAATGCTTGAAATAAGCATACACTTACCCGAACAATACCTGTTGCTACACTTTGCCGAAAAAAGTCACCTTGCTAACTGAATCAACCTGAGACAGGTTGCACTGTACTGCTAGGAGGATGCACCCATCCACACTCTTGGCCTGGCTGATATGAACACAACTGAGCCTACAACATAGAAACAGCTACCAGCTTTGACACTACGATATATGTGCTGCTTCTGCCCTGTAAAGCACAGTTTTTGTTATGGTATGAGAACTTTCGTCTGTGCAGTTCCAGCTAACTCCACAATAGAAACCGGCAGGCTTCTTTTTTGCCCACTTGGCCACGGCCTTCCGGAGTTACGCTACTTTTGAGAATTCTCGAAAGCCACGGCCTTCTGGACGACCTGCTTCGAGCCACCTGCTTTGCAACTACTTTAACTGCTTTCCCTTCATGAAACAGCAGCAACAGCAACCTGTCATCACCCCCCCTTATGCCCCCCTCATCTGTCATTTCCCGTTTCAAAAGAACAGCACTGCAACGGATATATCGTCTCTGGAGTTGGCGTGTTTCTCCGCTGCCCACTTCGCGACTGCCTTCTGAGCGACCTGCTTCGCTGCTTTGCTCCTGGGCCAAGTGTTTGCCACTATCTCAACCACCTCTGCGTTTGACAGCACGTCCCACACCTGCGACGGGGGGTGAGGAAGGGGGAGGGGTGGAAGAGGGTTGTGTGAGGTTGTTTTGGATTGGGTGGTTAGGGCATCACCCCATGAGCCACCTGCTTCGCTGCTTTGCTCCTGAGCCATGTGTTTGCCTAATATCAACCACCTCTGCGTTAGACAGCACGTCCCACCCACACCTGTGAATGGGGTTTAAAGAGGTGGAGGGGAGTGGAGGTGGTTCGTACTAGGTTGTGGGAGGTTGAGGGGGGTTGTGAGTGGCAAGCCCATCACCCACAGGCCACTTGCTTCGCCGCTTTGCTCCTGGGCCGTGTGTTTGCCACTATCTCAACCACCTCTGCAATAGTCAGCACATCCCACACCTGTTGAGGGGGAATAAGTTGGGTTGTGAGGGGTGGATGTCAGAGGTCCACTGGAGATCCCCGATTGATCCTAGGGAAGGGTTACAGGCACGTCGGTCTGGGGGGTTATGGGCGCACTCACCCGCTACACAAACAAGCCCTTTTATCTCAGTGGTTAGTGGCTGAGATTCAGACAGTGGAGGGGGGTTGTGGGAGGTTGTGAGTGGTTAGCTCATCATTTCACAAGCCACCTGCTTTGCTGCTGTGCTCCAATACATGCGTTTGATGGCACGTCCGACACCTGTGGGAGTGTGTGACGGAGGTTGTGGAGTGGGGTTTATGGGGAGTGAAGGTTGGTGTTGGAGGTTAGTGTTGGGGTCTTTGCTGCACACAGAGCCACATCGCACCCGCATACGAGCCCCTGGGACTTTGAGTCGACCCAAAAAGTCGACCTAGTGCACACTTACGACCTGATCCTGCAAAAGCAGAACAAGACGAATGGACCACTCACCCCATTGGAACCCATGACCACAAACTGGACGTTGGGGTCTTAAGTGCCCATGGTCACATCAGGTCTGCAGATGAGCCCGTGGAAACTTACTCTGAGAGGACGTGTTCTTTGGCTCCCATTGGATGAGAAGGAACCACCCACTCACTCACCCCATTTGAAGCCATGGGTTTACTGGGATGGAATGAACAAGCAACCCACTCACCCCATCGGAACCCACGACCACAAACTGGTCGTTGGGGTCTATAGTGCGAACAGTCACATCCGGCAGGCAGATGAGCCCGTGCGATTTGAGCTCAAAGTCCCCAAAGGCGCGCGCCACTGCCAGCCCCGACGAGCCCGTGGGCCTTGGCTTTGGACTCCGTAAGAGAAGAACAGAGCACTCACCCCGTCTGAACCCATCACAACAAACTGGTCGTTGGGGTCTATAGTGCGAACAGTAACGTCCGGCCGGCAGATAAGCCCATGTGATTTGAGCTCAAAGTCGCCAAAGGCGCGCGCCACTGCCAGCCCAGGCTCGCTCTTCCCCGGCAGGAAGATTCTGTCGATGGTGTTCATGTAGTTGAGCACCTTGCCTCCTGCTTCCTGCACCCGCGCCTTCTCAGCTGCAGCAGAAGGGGTGAGGGGGAAAAGAACGAGGAAGGGGAGAGGTGGTGGGGAGGCGGACGATAGAGAGAGAGAGAAAGGGAGGGAGGTTCAGTGGACGGAGGTGTTGAAATGGTTGAGCAGCAGCGCGTGACAGGGGCCCTGCAGATGAGGCCGCGCCACTGCCAGCCCAGGCTCGCTCTTCCCCGGCAGGAAGATTCTGTCGATGGTGTTCATGTAGTCGAGTACCTTGCCTCCTGCTTCCTGCACTCGCGCCTTCTCAGCTGTGATGGGGGGGGATAACGAAGGGAGGGGATTGGGTAGGGAGACGACAAGGCAGGAAGATTCTGTCGATGGTGTTTATGTAGTTCAGCACCATGCCTCCTGCTTCCTGCACTCGTGCCTTCTCAGCTGTGATGGTTGAGGAAGAGGGGAGAGAGGGGGAGGAAGAGAGGATAATAGTCGTGCATGCTCTTCCCCGGCAGGAAGATTCTGTTGATGGTGTTCATGTAGTTGAGTACCTTGCCTCCTGCTTCCTGCACTCGCACCTTCGCAGCTGCAGCAAGGGACGCGAGAGAGAGGAGAGTTGGGGAAAAGACAGGAAGATTCTGTCGATGTTGTTCATGTAGTTTAGCACCATGCTGCCTGCCTCCTGCACTCGCACCTTCTCAGCTGTGATGGGGAGAGACAATGTTGGATGGCGGGATGTGCGGTGGTGAGGGGAAGATGAAGGGGGGGATGAAGAAAAACATCCCACTTCCCTTTCCCACTCCCCTTCTCCACTCCCCTTCCCCGCTCCCCTTCCCCGTTCCCCTTCCCCACTCCCCTTCCCCACTCCCCTTCCCCGTTCCCCTTCCTTCGCAATACAGGCCAAACCTCTACAACGCCTGCTGATTCACACCCCTCCTTCCCTCCTCCTACTCATCTCCTCTCTCACCTGGGTTGCTCGCCTTGTGGTCCGTTGTCAGCTGAACTGGAAGAGGTCTCCCAATACAGGCCAAACCTTTACCACACCTGCTCCTACTACATGAACACCCCCCTCCTCCCCTCCTCCTACTCGACTCCTCTTTCACCTGGGTTGCTCGCCTTGTGGTCTATGGTCAGCTGGACTGCCTCCATTCCATGGTTGGCACATCACAGGCATCACAGGCATCACAGGCATCACCCAGTAGCTTTCCCCCCTTCCTCTCCTCCCAGTCATCTCCACTCTCACATGGGTTGCTCGCCTTGTGATCCATGGTAAGCTGAACGGCCTTCATGGTCGCTGCATCATAGCACTCCCTTGATCCCATCTAGCCTCCCTCCTCCCTTTCAGCCCTCCCCAACCCTGCTTCAATCCCAATCATCTCCTCTCTCACCAAAATTGCTCGCCTTGTGGTCGATGGTCAGCTGAACGGCCCCCATGGTCGCCCGAACACAGGCCCTACTACACTCCCCACTCCCTTCCCCCACACCCTGCTCTCCTCCCACTCAACACCTCTCTCACCTGGGTTGCTCGCCTTGTGGTCGATGGTAAGCTGAACGGCCTCCATGGTCGCCGCATCACAGACCATAATCCCTCCCCCTACTCCCTTCCCTCACTCCCTCCCCCTACTCCCTTCCCCCACACCCTGCTCTCCTCCCACTCAACACCTCTCTCACCTGGGTTGCTCGCCTTGTGGTCGATGGTAAGCTGAACGGCCTCCATGGTCGCCGCATCACAGACCATAATCCCTCCCCCTACTCCCTTCCCTCACTCCCTCCCCCTACTCCCTTCCCCCACACCCTGCTCTCCTCCCGCTCAGCTAGTTTCTCACCTGGGTTGCTCGCCTTGTGGTCTATAATCAGCTGAAAGGCCTCCATTGTCGCCCAATCACAGGATCTACTTCCCCTCTCCCACTTCCCTTCACCCACTCCCACGCAGCTCGTTTCTCACCTGGGTTGCTTGCCTTGTGGTCGATGGTCAGTTGGACAGCCTCCATGGTCGCTGCATCGCTCTTGCCATTGGGACCCCTGGCAACGCGAGCGAGCACACAGCGCGAGTCCCCTATGTGTGCCACTATAAGCTCCGATCCCTGAGGTAGGGAAGGGGAGGAGGGGAAAGGGGCGGTGGGGCGTGAGCAGGGAACGTGGAGGAAGAAATGCCCTGGAAGTGCGAGCGAGCACACAGCGTGAGTCCCCTATATGTGCCACTATAAGCTCCAAACCCTGGAATTGTTGAGAAGGGGAGGGAAAGAGAGGTAGAATGCGGTGGTGAGGGGTAACCTGAGGTCTGTCTGCATCACTCTTCCGTTGGGAGCTCTGGCAATGCGAGCGAGCGAACAACAGGAATCACCTATGTGCGCCACTATTAGTTCTGATCATCCCCGAAATGATGGTTGGGGAGGGGTGGTAAAGGGAGAATGCAGCAAGGGAAGGAAGCTCTGACAGTGTTAGCAAGCACACAGCGCGAGTCGCCTATGTGTGCCACTATCAGATACGATCCCTGAAATGATGGTTGGGGAGGGGTGGTAAAGGGGGAGTGCAGCAAGGGAAGGAAGCTCTGGCAATGCGAGCGAGCACACAATGGGAATCACCTATGTGTGCCACTATCAGTTCCGATCCCTGGAAAAGGGAGGGAAGGGGGAGCAGCACAGAAGTGGGGTGAGGGAGGGAGGGGGCCGGAAAGAAGTTGCATCCAGGGGGGATTGGGAAATAATGTGGTAAGAAAAAGAGGCCTTGACAGTGCGGGTCAGTACACAGCGCGAGTTCCCCATGTGTATCATATCCGAGCCCTGAGAAAGAGTCCCACCCACCCACCCCAGCCACCGAGCGACCAGAGCATCAGAGAGATGATCCACTCACAAGCCCGAGACATGACCAGAGACAAAGTGACTCACAAGGCGGAGGGCAACAGCAGCAGTGGAGCCGCTGTCCCTGTTGTGCAACAGGTCCTTCCTCAGCTCCTCGTCTATGTCCCCAAACACCCTCCCTTAACAAACCCCACCCAGCCAGCTCGCGTGGAGACATGACTGATGAGTGGCTCAGAGGGAGAGACATGCAACTCAGGAGGCAGAGGGCAAGGACAGCTTTTGAGAATTCTCAGAACGGACTCACAAGGCGAAGGGCAACGACAGCAGTAGACCTGCTGTCCCTGTTGTGGAACAGGTCCGTCCTCAACTCCTCGTCAATGTCCCCTAACACCCCCCCAACCTCACATGCTTCACCTAACAAATAGAGCAGCAAAGAGAGAGAAACAGTTGACTCACGAGGCGGAGGGCCACAACAGCAGTAGACCCGCTGTCTCTGTTGTGAAACAAATCCTTCCTCAGCTCCTCGTCGATATCCCCAAACACGCCCCCAAAAATGCGCGCCCACACGTCTCGCGCCGCGGCCCCATCCACGTGTGCTAGCTCGTTCTGGGTGTGCTGCACGGCTGCGTTGAGTCGCTCTGGCAGCTGGTCGCGAGCTGTCTTGGACACGTAGTGCCCCGACAAGCCGTGCCCGTCAAACACCCCCACCAGCGCACTGCCTCTTTCCCCAGTTGTGCTTGTGATTATCAGGTTCTGGGGGCGGGGAGCACGGGAGGATACGGGGGAAGGAGCGCCAGGAAGGGGGAAAGGAGAGGCAGGGGTGAGGTGTCTTGGACTTGTAGTGGCCCGACAAGCCGTGCCCGTCAAACACCCCCACCAGCGCACTGCCTCTTTCCCCAGTGACTATGAGGTTCTGCGGGTGGGGTGGTGGGGTGTGGGGAGGGGTGGGAGAGGTGGGAGGATGGGAGGATGGGAGGATGGGAGGATGGAAGGATGGGAGGATGGGAGGATGGGGTGCCCGCACGTCGTGCGCCACATTGTTGACCTTTTTTGACTTCTCACTCACTGGGGAGTGCTTCATCTTGACATACACGCCCTTGCTCCCCATAGCTCCCCATACACGACTGAGCATGATGACTTTTCTGACCTCTGTAAGGCAAGTCCTGGACCTTGGGATACTCTCGTTGCGATGGATGTGAATTAACTGACTTTCTGTAAAGACAAGTGCTGAATCTTGATATACACCGTGCGATCAGCACAAGGAGACGGCAGCTGCCGGACAACACCCACACACAGCCTTGACCCCTCTGTGGCAATTGTTAGGTCTTGACGGGCTGTCGTGCCTTGGATTGAACAAACACCCGCACTGCTGCATCTATTGACTTTTCTGATTTTTGCGAGGCAAGTGTTGAGTTAACATACACCCTTGCCTTGCCTTGAATGAAGCAACTCCCAAAATGCTGAACTTGGCTTACACCCTTTGATCAACACAAACGAGACGACAGTTTTGGTGCAGCGCCTGGCACTCGAGTACAACACACACTTTTGCGTCTTTACTTTCCTCACTTCTGCGGCGAGTTCTGCGTCTTGACGTTTTCCCTTTGATCACCACAAGGAGACCAAGAGTTACAGGACAAACACTCACACCTCTGACCTTTTTCCTCACCTCTGTGGCAAGTGCGGCGTCTTGGCATACGCCCTTGAGGCCAGGCTGCACAAAGATCACCGAGTTCTTGGTGGATCCTGGCAAAGGCAGTACGGGATAGACAGTACTCACACCTTTGACTTTTCTCACCTCTGTGGCAAGTGCGGCGTCTTGGCATACGCCCTTGAGGCCGGGCTGCACAAAGATCACCGAGTTCTTGGTGGACCCTGGCAAAGCAGTACGGGACAACACTCACACTTCTGTCTTTCCTCACCTCTGGCAATGTCTGGGCCGAGCCTTAGACGTTCGCCCTTTGAATTACGCAGTTGCGGGACAACACTCGCACATGTCTTTCCTCTCCTCTGTGGCAAGTGCTGCGACTTGACATTACGCACTTTCCGTTCAACACAGTTGCTGCACATCACCAAACCTTCTCACCTCTGTCGCGAGTGCTGCGTCTTGACATACGCCCTTGAGGCCGGACTGCACAAAGATCACTGAGTTCTTGGTGGACCCTGGCAAAGGCATTGCGAGGAAGAAAGAAACGAGTAGAACGAGATGGAATTAGATTCGGTTGGGGTGATACTTCGAGCCCGACGGACACGGGACACGAGACATAATTATAAGAAAGAGACAACGGGGTTGAAGCATTCGTTCACGTCAGGCTGAAACGGGATTGATTCCTGCCATCACTCTTAGCTGTCAAATGGTTGTAAAATGGTTACGAGCGGAGTAAGAGAAGTCTCACCTACGTCTTTGTTGATAACCCCGTCTTTAGATGATCCGTTTCCCATAGTGAACCGAGAATCGTCAGCTCTGACGTGTGGGACGAATAAAACTGTACACCAGCAACGACTGCTGAGAGAGTTACAGGCTACAGATCGCTAGTAACGACTGCTGAGGGTAGTTCGCTATAGTTACAGGTCAAACACAGCCGTAATGCTTTTGTCAAAAGGTGGTCATTCAACACAGCCCAGATGTCTGCAGAGCTTCGGAAGGTCTTATGCGAGTAGTGTCTGGAGGGACGAGTTCCAACAAAAATGAATTCTGGTCTGATGCGCTCGGCAGAATCTCGTTTCAGGAATGGCTGGGTGAGCAAGGACAGAGTTGACAGGAAAAAAATGATGATAATAATATGTGGAGAAAGGAGGTAACTTTTGAGTCGACCCAAAAGGCAGGATCTCGTTTCAGGGATGGCTGGGGGAGCAAGGACAGAGTTGATAGGAAAAAAATGATGATAATATGTGGAGAAAGGTCGAGTGAGCTGAGGAAACAATGTGTGCAAAAGCCGTGCAGACAAAACCTAACTAGAAGTTATCAATAAGGTAGTTGACATGCCACGCATCTCGGAAGCAGGTAAAGCGCGTATTCAAGCAAAGAATAAGTATTTGCGAGAAATTCAGCTTGGGAAAAAAAAGTACCGAAAACTGCTTACGTTTTCGTACTCAGCGACTAGAGGTAGTGAAAGCTCAGCAATTCTTCAGGCAATAGTAACGAAATTGTGCAGAAACGCCGGATTGAAACGTATGTGATCTAAATTCACACAGCGGTGCGCGTAGGCCTTCAATAGTTACCTAGGATGCTCGGATCGTGAATGTAGTACCTAGAAACTCCGGGCCATTTTCAGGTGCGATCCACACTTGCCAGGAAATCTACTCATGTGCGATCCATGTTTTGCAGGTACGAACAACCGATTCAGTTTTAAATCTTACTGTTTAAAATAACGATTTATCCGAGATCCGATTCAAATAACAGTCGGAATCAGAAGCGATTTCGAATCACGCCAAGAAAAATTCGAATGGTCACATCATTTTGGCACAATTTCGACGACTAATTCTGCTCCGCGCTAAGAAATTTTGTAAAAGATTTTTATGCCGGATCAACTGTACTGTTGACACAGGTGACGGATACTGCGCAGGCCATTTCAGCATTCCCTTCTTGGGCGTGCACCCCAAAATTCGAGAAACTGTCTGGGTGATAATGAAGTTTACCCTCATTTTAAAATAACCAGCTGGGTTTTTTTTTCGCAATAGACGACGCTGCCCTAAAATATATATCTAGGTATATCACTGTCTCTCTTGGCCGTCTTTTCCTCCCGTTCCTGTTTCCTGATCTCGCCTCGTTTGAGCGCTCTGCTGACTTGATCGCTCACCTCCGCTCGCTCGACGCTAGTTACCGCGCTGCTTGCACTGAGGCACAGCTTGCACTGCTTCCTCCCCCTATGGCGATTACTATCTATTTCATCGCCACTAGCCTCCCTGACCGCCTTGCCTCCGTTCGCGACGCGCTTCTGCTGAAGCACCCTAGTGAGCTCACCGTCGATGTCCTTGAGTCTGCACTCAAGGACGTCGAGAGCAACCTTCGCTCGGTAGCCGCTGCCTCTGGTGCTGTGCCCCCCCCACTCTTCCACGGGTGCACAGTCCCGCAGTTACCCACCTTTACTGCCTCACTTGCCACTGCCGCTACTGACGCGACTGCAGCTGCTGTTACGACTGCGTCGCGGTCCCGCGGTAGGAGTGGCAAGAAAGGCGGTTCTGGTGGTGGTAGTGGAGGTGGAGGCGGAGGTAGTGGAGGTGGCGTTGCGCCTGGCGGCGGTGGAGGTTCAGGGCCTGGAGAGGCGCCTCGTGCAGTGACTGGTGACTCCACTGCGCCTGCTAGTGGTGGCGACGCCCGAGTTCGTCAGTCGCCTCCTGTACTTCCTGCCCCGGTTGGTGGAGCAGCGGCGTGGTACCAGGCTCAGCGTCAGCAGCAGCTTCTGCAGCACCAGCAGCCCCTCTCCTCCCAGCAGCCTCAGCAGCAGCAGCGGCAGCAGCTGGCTCCAGGGTCGGGGCTGCGTCAGACCCAGCGTGGTACTGCTTACACTCCCTGCACCTACCAGGTTCTGACAGGCCCTCGTCGTGGCCACCCTTGTGGCCGGTTTCACCCCCCTGGTCAGTGCTTTGCTCAGCTCACTGACACGGTTCGTTTGGTCTACGGGGTTGGTGCTCCTGCCCCTGACTGGCTGCCTCTTGTTCAGCGCTACGGCTCCGCTCTGTGGGGCATGTCTGCTGAGCAGTTAGTTGATCTGATTGGTACTCCCCATGCTATGTATGCTGTTGTTGACTCTAGTGTTTCTGACTCTGCTTACTCTGGTGTTGTTAGCTTAGGTGCTAGCCTTGCTCAGTTGCCTGTTGCTAGTGTAGGTTCTTGTGTAGACTCTAGTCCAGCGGCTACCTCAGAGGACGGTTCGCTGTCGTTCACGCTGGACTCTGGAGCCTCTCACTGCTTCTTTCGTGACAGCACGACACTTACGCCTCTTCCTGCGCCTGTTTCTGTGGCGCTGGCTGATCCCACTTCGGGACCAGTCACCGCGCGTCACACTACCACCTTGCCGTGTCCGGCTGCTCCTTCTGGGTCTCTCACTGGGTTTCACGTCCCCTCGTTCTCCCGGAACTTGGTGGGCGTGCGACCCCTCGTGAGTCAGCACGTGGGTGTGTGGTTTGAGCCTTCTGGAGAGACTGCGGTGTGTGTTGACGGGGACTCTTACCAGCCCCTCGCCACTTTTGCTGCTGAGCCGGGCTCCGGTCTCTACACTCTTCACACTGGCCCGCGCGCTCAGCAGCGACTGCAGCAGCAGCAGCAGCCGCAGCAGCAGCAGCAGCAGCAGCAGCCGCAGCAGCAGCAGCGGCAGCAGCCGCAGCCGCAGCCACAGCGGCCGCCGTCGCAGCAGCCACTCCTCCCAGTTCCTGTCCCTCCCCCTAGTCTCCTCCCTGCGTCTCACCAGGTGGTTCCGTCCCCTCAGGTTGTCGCGTCCAGTCCAGTCGCTGCGTCTTGCTCCTGTCGGTCGCTTGCCCACCCCACCGTTCTGTGGCACCACCGGATGGGACACCCTTCTCTTCCACGTCTGCGTGCTATGTCTAGTCAGCGTCTGGTCTTAGGTCTCCCGCGTGTCTTGCCGTCGCTGCCGCCGTCCCTTGCACCACCGTGCGGTCCTTGCGTCGAGGGTAGGCTGCGTGCCACCCCTCACTCCTCCTCCCTTCGTCCGGCCACCGAGCCTTTTGAGACGCTGCACTTGGACGTCTGGGGCCCCTCTCCTCGCCCTGGCCCTGAGCGTGAGCGTTTCTTTTTGGTGGTCGTTGACGACTACTCCCGCTACACCACAGTGTTCCCCCTGGCGAGGAAGTCTGAGGTGACTTCTACGCTGATCAGGTGGTTGCTTACCACCCAGGACACTCGTGGTCGTCGTGTCAGCTGTCTCCACTCCGACCGCGGGGGCGAGTTTCGCTCCGGCATTCTTGCTGGATTCTGTCGCGAACAGGGCATTCGTCAGTCCTGGACGCTTCCGGAGTCCCCACAGCAGAATGGGGTTGCTGAGCGTCGCATAGGCCTGGTCATGGAGATTGCCCGCACCTCCTTGACTCACGCCCGTGCCCCCCATTTCCTGTGGCCATACGCAGTCAGGTACGCCGCGCACCAGCTGAACCTCTGGCCACGCGTCTCTCGGCCGGAGGCTTCACCGACCAGTCTTTGGACAGGGTCCCCTGGTGTCGCGTCGAGGTTTCGTGTCTGGGGGTGCTTGGCTCTTGTCCGCGACACCTCCGCGGACAAGCTCTCGCCTCGCGCCGTTCCTTGTGTCTTCCTTGGTTTCCCTGAGGACTCCTCTGACTTCACCTTTTACCACCCTCCCTCTCACCGGTTCTTTGACTCCCGTGACGTCCGTTTCGAGGAGTCCACCCCGTACTACGTCAGGTACCCCAGTCGAGGTCTCCCGGTTCCTCCTCCCCCCCTCTTCCTGACAGCCGCTCCCCCGCCTGCTCCCCCGGTACAGCCTCCCCCCCCTGGTCCAGCCCCGTCTGGTGTGTCTCAGGCTAGCCCTCCCCCTTCGGTAGCCCCCCCTGTACAGCCTCCCTCCCCACAGTCTTCCTCGCCGCCTCCTGCAGGTGCTCCCTCTCGGGAGGTTGGTCCTGCGACTGTCCCTGTACAGGTCTCTGGTTCTGGGGGTGCTGGAGTTGGAGCTGAGCCGCGGGTTGCAGAGGACTCTTGTCTTCCGGGGGCTGGTACTGGTCGTGCGGAGTCTGGGGGTGCTGGTGCGGAGTCTGGGGGTGCTGCGTCTGGGGGTGAGGGTGTTCCTTCGGTTTCTGGAGAGCCTGGGTCTGGAGCTGGTGTTGGTGCTGCCTCTGGGGGTGGTGTGCTTGGTGCTTCGGAGGTCGACTCTGGGGCTGCCGCTGCCCCGGACACTACTCCTTCCCCCCACCCCTACCCGACCAGGTTCCAGGCTCGTGTTCGCCGTGCTCGTGAGGAGCAGCTGGAGTTGGAGAGAGAGGAGAGAGAGTTGCAGCGGCTCGAGGAGCAGGAGCGACAGCAGCAGGGGCAGCAGCCGCTGGAGCAGCAGCAGCCGCAGCAGCAGCAGCTGCCGTCTCCTCCTCCTGTCTCGGGTCTTCGGACCCTTGGTCTCCCCTCTCCCTCTCCTTCCTCCTCCCCCTCTCCTCCCGTCTCTGGTCCTCCGCTTCCTCCTCCTGACCCCTCTCCCGCTGTTTTCCCTCGTTCTCAGTCTTCGTTGTCCCCTCCTCCTTCTCAGACTTGGGCCTCTCGTCGCTCCCCTCGTGCTCGTCCCTCGTCTCCTGTTCCCTTCACTGACCTTCGTACTGCCTTACTTCGTTCTAGTCCACCTCGTCCGTCTCCGTCTGTGCTTCCGTCTCCTCCTGAGTCGGCTCTCACTGCGTCGCTCCCTACTCCTGTCACTGACTACTACCGCACGTACCGTCCTCTTCTCTCTCGTGTTCTCGCCTCGCTTGTTACTCACCCTCGTGCCTCT